CAAATAAGAACTATAATCATTCTGTCTTGTTACATTTTTACTGGTGGTAGGACCTCTTGTGAGTCCGCGCGGGTCGGTATCACCACCCTGCCTATTTCTGCCGTGAAGCAATAATGCATTTCGGTTTGAAGGGTAGGGCAGCCGTTGTAACTATACCTGAGACCTTAGAACTTATATCTCAAGGTGGGTGGTGCATTTACGCTGTAGATATCTATGGGCTCCAGTAACCACTTAACACCAGGTGGGCTGTGAGCTCTTCCGCCCACCTAAGCAATAAAAATTAAAAAAAACAATTAACAAAGAAAACCGTATAAGATAACTATATTAGGTAGACAGGTATTAAAATATGAGCACAACATTGCGAAGCTCATCCGAAAGCATTTTTATAATACTTGTAAACATAATGAGATTCCACTTCTCCGAAATACAATTTAATTTGGTTATCTTCACTCTCTCATCAGAAAGCAGTGAAGTAAATAAAGTGGATACTACATTTTCCCAAATAGGTACATATAACAACGATCCAGCTTACACCACATTAGGGCCAGACAGATTCAATTTATTCCAATTGATATTTATCTCACGCTCAAGTTCTTACGTTATCACCGTGAATTTTACATATATACATACGGGAAATTTCGGTAAAATCGTAATTGTTACATCATGTACGTACGTCGTACACATATTTAATAGGTATCATGAAAAGTTAAAGACATACTGAGTCATGAGTGACTCTCATCAGATTAATAGCCAAGTTTCTAGTTACGGCTAAATGCTGTATTCAAATATTTTTGGATAAAGAAACGTCACCGAAAACTGAATATACATTTTACTAAAAAGTATTTACGGTAGATAGTTCAGTGAACCTGATGCTATTCGATTACTGGAGCCCCCTGAAATGGAAGGATTACAAGTGCCCTTTCCACCAGTGCCAATAGTGTTGGGATTCGTCTCACCACTCGTGTGCCTTTACTATCAAATCGGAATGGCAGCCCGCTGAGTAAATCCGCTGTGAAACTCAGCGGACTAATGTTATGGCTAAGTGTAACGTCGATTTCTTCACAGCGTTCGATGAGGATATTTCCTACGATAAATGCTAGTGTTAAAACAAGAAGCGTCATGAAGAGCTACATTCTAAGTATAAGTTGTTATGGAGCGCCTTATCCGAACGTACTTACTATACATTTAAGGGTATCCGGTGACCAACTTAACCCTTTTCACGAATGATACGGCTATCTAGTACTCAACTAGCAATATGTCGTTAATGCATAATAAACTCCAGATCCCGGCCACCAATTTAGAACAGTGGTTCCAGAAGTGGCGCATTGACATAAACACCACGAAAAGCACAACCGTGCTCTTCAAAAGGGGTGGCCCTCCGACACTACTGACAGTATCTCGTCACCGATTAAGCGTGGTAACTCCATTTCCGGCATAATCTTTGGCCAGCCCACGCCGTGGGCTTCGTAGCTACTTAGACATCACTCTCCACAAGGCCAGGAAACGTCAGAACGCTACTTTGACAAAGCGGTGCGACACAAAAACCCTCTTATCGTAGTCGCCGTTAATTACTTACTTATTCGACCACGACGTGGCAACGCAAGCCCGCCGTTACCCGAAACAAGTCTTGTCGGATCCCCCAGATTCACTTTCAGTGCTTTTAGGCCTCTCAAGCACCAGTCACCGTCCTCGTCAAACTCATCGATTATGACGAAGAGTTCGACGACCGAACTAACTCATAGACACAGCCCACTGAGTTTCTCGCCGGATCTTCATAGTGGGTCACGATTCCAATCCGGTAGTAGATTCTGCGAAGCACTGCTATTGCTAGGGCTAATGTTAGCAAATTCTCTCAGGTTTAGCCCGTGAGCTCACCTACCCGTCCCGGACGTTGCCGGGATAATCTCTTAGGCTACCAGCAAACCGGTAGGAGGGAATTTTTTAAGGTATACCGAAATGTGCAGGATGCATGAAGCTACCCATATGGAACCAAAACACACCCCTGATATAAAAATTAATTAAAAAACAACTTCCTTGCGTACCTATTCAACTTCGACATAGTCACGTTGCATATCCTGAAACAACAAATAAAAAAAATATTTATAACTACTGATACCATGCACCACACGCTTTTTTTACAATAAATTTATTTTTTCTTACACTATTTGTAATTCAAATTTATTAAAATTTATTTTCTATTTTTTAGTTGGATTTTCTATAAAAGCGTATTTTGTTAGTTTTTTTAAACTATTATTTATTTTTAATTTTTTAGATGAATTTAAATGCTTTCAATTCTTTTTGAAATATTGAATTGTCATCGGTCCTTAATAAGTATACCAAATTTCGAGTTAATCCGACGTTTTGGAGGGGGTCAAAATCATGTTCAAAGATTCAGTTACATAGGTACTAACATACTAACATACATACGTCTGAAGCTAATAAAAGCGTATTAAAAAGAAAATTATAATGATTTAAATGTGAACATTTATAATGTTTAAATATTTAAAATATAATGAACGTAAATAAGTTTCGTTATCGTTAAGTTATTCGTTAATGACAAAGTTTATTAGAATTAATTCCATTTCAAACAAACGGCAACACTTTTAACTCTGCAACAATTTCGTGAAACAGTGATTTTTAATATCATTCGTTTCGGAAACTTTAATGGCAAAACTTTAATGAAACTCTGGTCACAACCGTTATTCTGATATTCTTAATAACAACAACCTCGAAGCAGAACACGTATTGCAGTAATATTTCGTTTATATCGTTGTTGTTAGTAAATAGTTTAATCATTTATCTGCATATATAAAAACATAACAATTGATAGTATTAAGAAAATCAAGTACAAAGGCAAATATTCTTTTTTATATATTCGCGAAAAAAGTAAAAAATAAACTATTAATGTAAGTGTCAACACGTGTTTGCAGAAGACACATAAAGAACACACTTTTAAATAATTTTATATTTTGCAATCAAAAGAACTAATAAACAAATAAATCAGATCAGATAAACAAATAAATGTAAAGGCAAGCTTCAGTCTACAAGAGAAAGTTTTTTTATAGACAAAAACGATATACTTGTACATGTCCCCCTACACTCTCAAGAAGAATAGCAATTCCAAACACCAATATAAATTTCAAAGATAAAGAACCTGCACTTTAATTGGATATCTCGAACTTTTCGCTGAGCTCCAAAAAGATCTTTTAGTGAACTTTGTTCAATACTTGTTTAATTTAGTTCGCTTTAAGCATTATTTTCCATAAAGTAAGTTGCTTTTACACATTTACACTTTATCGCTAAATTTTATAGATGCGAAGCATAATCCGTTAGTCTGCATGAATTTTTAATAAAGTCCTCGTCCTGTTTTCTCAAAATTAATACAAAATATATCTATTATTACAGTATATTACAAGTTCTGATCTGGATTATCGTTCAAATATCAAAGTTTTAGTTGTAACTAAACATACATTTCAGTTTTCAGACTAAGTTATTATTACACGTGATTAATAAATATTTGAGTAACTTGTACTCGTTACTAAGCTGGGTGATGTTAAAGATATGAATTTACTATTTTGAAATTCTACAAAACGTAAAAACGTAGACTATTTATTCTCTTAGGGCTCCAGTAAGCATTTTAGGGCCGTGAGCTCATCCACTCATCTAGTACAACTTTAGAGTAATATTTCGTACATACAACAGATTACATCAAGGCTAATAATAGAAATACAAAAAAAGAACACAAGTAAATTGGTGACATTATTTTACTTTCTCGAAAAAGTATAAGTTCTAACCAAAGAACTCGGAACAAAAAAAGTCCTGATTCAATCAAACAAATAAATAAAATTTATCGTCCTAAAATAGTTTTAAAGCTCGTAAATAGAGACAATAAATATTTTATAAGGAATAAAATGATTTTCTACCGAATGATTTCAAAGACTTTTTGGCGGGAACGCGACGAGTGAAGTTGTGTGATTTGTTTTATTTTGTCTATTTAGTGTTTCTTCGGGTTTAAATGTGTAATAATGGTGGTTTATTAACCGTTTAATATCTGTGAAAGTGCACAAATGTGGGAAAATGAAACAAAGCCGCTGGACTTAACTTCTCGGGATCCTCCAAAAAGTCCACTGAAAAATCTTAGTAAATGACCACCATTTTACTGAGATTAGATTTCATCTCATATCATCTCATTTAATTTCATCCTAGTTGATTAATGTCTCAAATTAATCATTTTCATTTCATTTCACTCCATAATATCATTTTTCATAAAATTAAGAATATAGATTAAAATAAGACATGACTTAAAGGTCTCAGTTACCAGGTCATAAAATCTCTTAAAAAAAATGCATCGATTGTGGACTTTTTGGCGGGAACGCGAGGAGTGAAGTTGTGTGATTTGTTTTATTTTGTCTATTTAGTGTTTCTTCGGGTTTAAATGTGTAATAATGGTGGTTTATTAACCGTTTAATATCTGTGAAAGTGCACAAATGTGGGAAAATGAAACAAAGCCGCTGGACGTAACTTCTCGGGATCCTCCAAAAAGTCCACTGAAAAATCTTAGTAAATGACCACCATTTTACTGAGATTAGATTTCATCTCATATCATCTCATTTAATTTCATCCTAGTTGATTAATGTCTCAAATTAATCATTTTCATTTCATTTCACTCCATAATATCATTTTTCATAAAATTAAGAATATAGATTAAAATAAGACATGACCTTTAGTCTCAGTTACCAGGTTATAAAATCTATTAAAAAAAAAAAAAAAGATTTCAAATTATCCGTTTTCGCATGACACGAGCGACTAGCGAAGGACTGGCAGAAGAGATACGAAATTTTACGGGATACTAGAATAACTAACTTACCTGTAACCAATAGTTAATACATTTTTAAAAGTGTGTATAGTTAAATTTGAATTAGCTGTGTTCAAAGATTGTTTCAAGACTTCGCGCTGTACCATTGCAAAATTAACTAATATATTTTTTTCTGTGCACACAGATTCTACAGATAGGACCAGTAGTGCAGACAAGATGGAAATTCGAAAATTTTCAGACCCCCGAAAACAACAACATCGCTATACACGTCACTCCACCAGATGGAGAAGAAGATGACGAGTTCGTACCGACGCTTCGTATGCGTCGAAAGCTCAGCACTCCGCTTACCTCGCTAACCAGCGTTTCCGATGAATTGCCTGGTCAGTATTCATTCCTATCTTTGCTCTACATTATTAGACGATCTCAAGGCTCGCCTGCTTTCTAAAAGTTGCCAGAGCTCATAGATGTCATAAAATGAATCCCATCGCCCAATTAGAAACCACCGTGAAATGAGATTGAAGTCTCAATTGTACTGTACAGTATCCATCTCATCCATCAAACCCGAACGCATGACTGCTTCGCGATATAAATAAATAATGTTTCAGATGGAAAACATACATCTTAAGCTCCCTAATCATTTAGAAGGCAAACTGTCTTTATCTATTTACCGTTTTACTGCTGAGATTAAACAATAACGTACCCTTAAAATAATAAGAAGTCTCAGAAGTAAATTAATTTTAACATGTTTAACGAAATTCAGGCTTGAAAATTTCACCAAGTCGATCTCTTTCGCCGCTTGACCGCACCAAGCGACGGTTCAGCACAATGGTGACGAGCGCAGCCGCTGCAGCTGTGACTCGCCGCCTGTCCGCAACTATAGGATGGTACCTTGCCAGTCATACACAGGTCAAACCGCAGATCGTACGCCAAGGGCGTGCACTTTGCCTGCAATATATTAAAACACAGATACGAAGATCAACTACCTGTGTCAAAAAGGTAATCTAGTCTGTTTTAAAAGATACCGATTCAATTGTTTTCTCCATTTCACACTGTTTACTGTTTATTTATTTTGTTTGCTTTATACAGCAGATAGTTATGAAGCGCCTTCAGCGTATGATCGAGACTGAGTGTGGAGAAGAGGCTACTTGTAATAGTGACACTGGGGTACTTTCTGCACTCCGCGCGCTATGTGCGGCGTTGGAGAGAAAGCGGCCGGAAGCATTCCGTCATGTCGCGCGTCAAGCAACCAGGGCTCCTTCAGCTATGCTGCGCTCAGACACTGCACTTGCAGAACTTGCACTTGCACTCGCAAGACGGGTCACAAGGGAGAACATCACGTGGTCAAAGGTAATATTAATGACTGTGCAGCTCCTGAGGGATTTCAATTCGTCAATTCAATTAAAAAGTCGTCGTGGCCTAAGATAAGACGTCCGGTGCATTCGTGTTGAGCGATGCACCGGTGTTCAAATCACGGGCGGGTACAAATTTTTCTAATGAAATACATACTCAACAAATGATCACGATTGACTTCCACGGCGAAGGAATAACATCGTGTAATAAAAATTAAACCCGCAAAAATTCTAATTTGCGTAATTACTGGTGGTAGGACCTTTTGTGAGTCCGCGTGGGTAGGTACCACCACCCTGCCTATTTTTGCCGTGAAGCAGTAATGCGTTTCGGTTTGAAGGGTGGGGCAGCCGTTGTAATTATACTTGAGACCTTAGAACTTATATCTGAAGGTGGGTGGTGCATTTACGGTGTGGATCTCTATGGGCTCCAGTAACCACTTAACACTAGGTGGGCTGTGAGCTCGTCTACCCATCTAATCAATAAATTAAAAAAAGAATACAATGCGCCATTGCCATTTAGAAATATTGGCAACCATGGATAGTACGTACGGTAGATTTCCTCAGTTACTTAACTATATTGCTTGGAGGTTTTCACTAACACCGTCCAAGCATCGTCGTCCTATCCCTTGAGAATTAATGTTTACCATTTGTTTTCGTGCTTTTAATGCCATACAATCCGTGGTCTTGGACATTTTTCCTATTTGGTTTAATGCATAAAATATGTAATTGGTATTATTATATTTATTTTTTATTATAAAGCATGTGTGCATCGGGTCTTGCCTCATAGAGAAGTTTACGTTCAGTAAAAAACGAACAAGTTTTCTCAGGACCCTGGGAGGGCAAGTCCAAGTCGATTTGCACCTGAGTCGGTTTTTTTTTATTTGTTTCCCTACCTATTTCTAGTAGTCTAAGGAGAGTCAGTAGGTATTACTCATTTTCAGTAAATTTTATTGATTTTAATTCCTACAACTCAAGATACCAAGGTAGATGGCACAGTTAAAGATATAAACCAATTAACTAAATAAACGTGCCTCGCCACAGTACTATCCAGTAAACATTCTGTGTAATCTGCTAATCAGTTTCTAACTGTACTTAAAACTAACGCTGTACGCAACCCTCGGTATACCTCAAAGTTTTCATTTAGTCGTATGCCTATTCATCATTTTGGCATACAAACAAGAATATGTCATATTGTAAGTAAAGTTTACTATCAAGAACTTTAATATCAAGAATACACATAATTGTATGTATATTTACGGAGATATGTACCTATGTGTATATGTATGTGTACATACATGTATATGTATTTTACTGGAATGGTACACCGCGCGTAGTTCGTTTCCAAATGATTCTTGTCCACCTGATGGTTGTCTGGAAGAGATCGCTCTTAGCGATAAGACCGCCAATTGTACTTTTTTGTTTTAATGTATCGCACTGTTTATTTGTTTTTTGGTGTACAATAAAGAATACTCTCTATCTCTCTCTCTCACACATCCAATTTACTATTTACACAAATAAATTTTCCGATTTCGTATTCAAAATTGAATATAATATTTAAAAAGAAATCTGAAATTGTGTCCGCTTTAAAAATGTTGTGATGTTTCGTAATTTAGACCTGCAATAAAATTGTAATATTATAGATGATAGGCACGTAATTCTTAAGTGATTCACTATAAGTAAATAATGACTATCAATAATCATAGCTCATTTATTTCGAAACAACATCATTATTATAATAATTAAGCTACGTATTTCTTGATAATAACGTAATAAGTCTAAAAACTTTTGTATACGGCACACCCTAATCTTATGTTTTCTAAATTGGGTTTGTGGAAATACTGTGTTAATATCAACTTCATGCTATTACTTTAGAACGTGATTGTTTTTTTTTAGATTGCCGCTGTATATTGTATTTGCGGAGCACTGGCTAGGGAAGCTGCTGAGGCAGCAGAAGGAGAGCCATCATTAGAGCTAATCACAGCACCGGCTGCTGCAATTGCTGACGTCTTACACGAGGAGCCTGGATCATGGATCGCCTCTCATGGAGGATGGGTAAAAACTATAATCTTAACACAATATACGACCTCTTGTGAATGCATAATTGTCTGTGTATTAGCCAATTACGAACGTAAAGAGTCTATTTCAATACATCCCTTTAAGATCAATGGCTCTAATAACAATAACTTTTGTTGTAGAAGTCACGCGTATCTATTGTGATTCACAAGTACAACATACGGTACGCATATAACAAAAACATACAAAATTGGGTCATTTCCTTTATGTGATACGTACATTATTTTAGGCTCGTACAACAAACACATCTTAGAAAGTCACGAATGAATAGTAAAATTTAAATCAACCATATATACCTAGTCAGGTCATAAATTCTGTCACATGTTTAATGTAAAATAATTGAAACAAGTTTATTCGTTATGTAACCATTCATATACCAAAATAAACTTAACAAAACATAGATTATTATGACACTAAAGCTTATTCAAAATGACCTCCGTGATTTTGAGTACAGGCCTTCAATCTGCGCGGCCAGTCGTCTATCGCAGCACGAACGAGGTCCATGTCAATATCGGCGGCTGCCTTAATCAAGGATGTCTTGAGTGACTCCAAATTGGGATGAGGCTTTGAGCACGCCTTTTCTTCCAAGTATTGCCATATCTTGTAATCTAACGGATTCAAATCTGGACTGGAGGAGGGCCAGTCTTCGTGCCGGATGAAGTCGATTTCACGCGCCGCCAGCCAGTCTTGTGTGCTCTTCGCTCTATGAGCTGGCGCCGAATCTTGTTGGAATACCCAGTGCCTGTTATTGAACATGGTATGAGAAACAGGTTCCACAAGGTTCGTCAGGACTGTATTTTGATACACAACTGCATTCGTTTTTACACCTTTCTCACAAAAATGTACCTCTGTTAAGCCCCAATAAGAAACTCCCAACCATACCATGAGCGAGGATGGAAAATGACCTCGTTGGACACGCGGAATACGGTTGCTCGCTTCTTCACTACTGTGTGCGTACACCTTATCATTTTGTTTGTTGTAGCTCTCTTCTACGGTAAAAATTTTTTCATCCGAAAAAAGAATTTCCCGATATTTTTTTCCCGCGTACCGCTTCAACAAAGCGCGGCATCTCTTCAGTCTCAGGTCCATTAGACGAGCATTCAAACGATGTCCTGTTTTTCTTCGATATGCCCGAAGCCCTAAGTCTTCATTTAACACCCTTTTCACCGTGGTTCTGCTTAACCCCATCTGAAGGGCCAACAGTTTCTGCTTACGTTTGGGATTTCTTTGAATTCGCGCCTTCACAGCTTTTATCACTGCTGGAGTCCTAACAGACCGAGGGCGACCACTTCTTGACCTGTCATCTACACTAGAGTCTTCATTGTATCGTTTGATGGTACGATAAACGAATCTTTTGGTTATATTCAAATTTTTCAGTATGTTAAAAATTTGAATTGGCGCGTAACCGCAACGATGCAACGCAATAACTGCAACACGGTCTTCTTTAAGCGTCCACTCCTTATTTAAAAATGAGTAAAATTCTAAAAGTATACATTTTTATTTTCATGAAACATTCGAAATTCGAATTCAATAAACTTTTTTGTGGCCAGCATTCTAAAAGAAAAGTTTTTCTGTGTGACAATACTTATGACCTGACTAGTTATATATATATATATATAATATATATATCGGTCGATATACATCAGATCGTCAAAAAGCTTTTACTTGGATTAATTTTAGTCAAGATGAATGCAATAAAGTTTTATTATTCTAGTTTTAAAGCTATTATGAAAGATTAAGCCCAGGTAATTATGTAGGTAAGTAGCTAGAGACAAAGAGGTAATAAAGGACGCGCTTAGTAAAAAGCCTCAGTTTAAGGAATTACAAGAAGTACTGATAAAATAAGTCGCAATACCACGTTTATTTTTTAACATGTACAATGAGCTCCACTATAGTGAATGTATAGCAAAAACATAATTAAAAATTAAAATAGAACATTAACAGATATGACAAAAACATTAAAAAGTCGAATTTCATGTTTTGAGGAAACTATACGAAAATCAATATCGCATTGGATTGGACATAATGTTAATATGCACATTTGCTTTAACCTGTTATGCTAAGTATAAATTATTATTATGTAGTATAATGTAGTATAATAGTAGTAATATAATAATACTCTTCTCTATATTAATAATATTATTATACGTCTTCTCGTTTAAATGAATACATACAGATTTACATTATACCATTTCTATGAAATTAGAGCACGAGTGTTATACCAGTATAATGAACAAAGATAATTTTAATTCATGTGTTTATACAAACTGTACAAGTATCGTTCCAAATAATGAAAACAGTAGTAGACCACTGTTTGACAATATTAAATGAAGTTCACAGAATTAATTAGTCTTTAGGTCTTGAGGAATTCGCCGAAATTCCGTTTATGCTTTAGGAGCGATTAACGATCCATTATTGAGTCTAACGAGAATAAAACGCCTTGTCGCTTAACATCCCGTCTCTAAAAGTCGGATGACACAGAACTCAATCAGGGACGTGGGAGGACGATGGGTTTAGCGTAAAGCGCTTTTTTTTTTATTGCTTAGATGGGTGGACGAGCTCACAGCCCACCTGGTGTTGAGTGGTTACTGGAGCCCATAGACATCTACAACGTAGACGCGCCACCCACCTTAAGATACAAGTTTTAAGGACTCAGTATAGTTACAACGGCTGCCCCACCCTTCAAACCGAAACGCATTACTGCTTCACGGCAGACAGGCAGGGCGGTGGTACCTATCCGCGCGGATTCAAAAGTGGTCCTACCACCAGTAATTACGCAAATTAGAATTTTTGCGGGTTTGATTTTTATTACACGATGTTATTCCTTCACCGTGGAAGTCAATCGTGAACATTTGTTGAGTACGTATTTCATTAGAAAAATTGGTACCCGCCTGGGATTCGAACACCGTTGCATCGCTTCAACACGAATGCACCGGACGTCTTATCCTTTAGGCCACGACGACTTCAATGTCGTCTTCGTCGTCGACTTCAATGCATATCTCCATTTAGACCTGCCTCATGGGACGATGGACTGACGGTTATCGGTGCCACAACCACCTGGTCTATCGATCGGTGAGCTATCCGAAGTCCATCTAGATGAGAGAGATTTCATTAGACAGTCTGTTTTGTGATAGGATGTTCATTGGCGGACATGACATTTGACTTTTAGTTGCTAAAAAACATATATTAGTTGAGATCTTAGACTGTTATGTACTTATTTGTGTTTACAGTTAAACCAAAAACAATTGAATATCTGTCCGAACGTATGTTTTGATACCTTCCGCCTTTCAACAGTCACGCACGTAAAATGATTCAGCAATCTAGCTGTGTGAACAGTCTTTGTTCAAATTCAAAACTATTATTTTTAAATTTCAGAATGGACTAATAGATCGTCTGCGCGCCAGCGAACGTGATCATACATCGGAGAAGAATTTACGTTTTATGATTGGATTCTTCGTGATGACCTTCTTGACACTGCTGCTGTTTCGATGGCTTTTACATACTAACCCAAGTTATGGCGACTCATAGATAGTCTAATATTATTAGAATGTCCAAATTAAAGTTTATGGGTATATTTATTAGTTAATTAAACATTATCTAAATAATTTAAGAACTGCGTAATGCTTTAAACTAGTACAATTTTATGTCAGCTATTTAATTTTGTTTACCTTACTTTTTACTTACTACTTTACCTTTTCTCAACCTATTGATATCTTTCTAAGCTGTAACTCCATAAAATTCTTAATTTTCTTCCATTTCCTGTCTTTATAAGCAAACAATTTATGAAATATTTAATCAGTATGTTAATAAAACTTTGACTGCAATATTAAATTTAAGGACTTGTACTATAATGTTTGTATTCGGCACTTTTCACATTAAATGAAGTAACTTCGAGCGTATTTCGCATTATTTTAATCTTGATGTTTCGGGTTGCCATTTAGCGATAATACCACAAAGTATGTATACTAATATATAAATCTAGAAGTTTTTACGGATGTTCCGTTATAACTACTGAACCATACATCCGATTGACTTGAAACTTAGTATCCATGTAGAAAATACATGTACTTAATAGATAGGCTAATATTTATAATAAGTGTTGGACTCCATACACCAGTTGCGGGGCGTTAATGATGAGAATCTTAATGAGGGTGAGAAATAATAAAGTTAATTTTAAATGCCCAGCGAACCGGACGGGTAGGTACAGCTAGTCTTTAATATAGTTATTGAACGGTTTCAGTATAGATGAATTGAAATGAATTGAATAGAAGATTACCATTTTTGGTTTCTACAAACTAAATAGGTATCTATAAAAGACCTAGTTCTTTCTTTCTTTTTTTTCTTTTTTTTTTAACGATCCTCGACCCATCACATCATAGAGTGAATGCTTGCCACCCATCCTTGATGCATGAAGTCGGAATCTACATTGCATCGTATGACGATGATCCCTTCAAACTGAAATTCATCACTACTTCGCGACAGGACGTTGGTAGAGGCTTACAATACGCTCCACCACCAATATTCATATTTCGTATTTTTTTAGGTTTTGATTTTAATTACACGATAATATTCGATAGCCCAGAAAGTCATTTTTAAATGCGTATCTTCTTAAATTATGGTACCCGCCTGCGAAATTAAAAGACCGGCATAATCCAATCACTTGACAAGAATAAGCCGTGCGTGTTTTTTTTTTTTTTCATTGCTTAGATGGGTGGACGAGCTCACAGCCCACCTGGTGTTAAGTGATTACTGGAGCCCATAGACATCTACAATGTAAATGCGCCACACACCTTGAGATATAAGTTCTAAGGTCTCAGTATAGTTACAACGGCTACCCCACCCTTCAAACCGAAACGCATTACTGCTTCACGGCAGAAATAGGCGGGGTGGTGGTACCTACCCGTGCGGACTCACAAGAGGTCCTACCACCAGTGTCTTTTAAACTGCGGCAACTTCAGCTGGTATTTTTAACTATTGTCACCTAATTTAAAATTATTGTATTTTAATACGCTTTTATTAGCTTCAGACGTATGTATGTTTGTAACGGAATCTTTGAAACTTTGAACACGATTTTCCCCCTTCAAAACGTCGGATTAACTCGAAATTTGGTATACTAATTACATTTACTAACTTAAATTGTGTTGTCGCCCTCAAGTTTGAGGAACAATTTTATTACGCTCTAAGTATATTTAGGACTCTGAATAAATCGCTCTGAAATCTATAAATTTGAAAGTTTATTACTTCAATTACCCATAGACATACCCTACTAAGTTTCTCGCCGGATCTTCTCAGTGGGTCGCGTTTCCGATCCGGTGGTAGATTCTGCGAAGCACTGCTCTTGCTAGGGCCAGTGTTAGCAACCTACATGTTAGGGTGAAGCTGAAATACCCTCTCAAGGCTATCAGCATAAGTAGGAGAAAAAAAAACCTCAAGTTTAAGAAACTACCTATTGATGATGATTTGTTTTAAGTAATGTGTTTAAATTCAGTATTTTAAACAGTCATTAGATGTCTTTTTCAGGTTTTCAATTGTTTTTGATGACTTTTTTTACCTTGATAGATAACACCATATCTTGAAACCATATTACAGAGCATCTTGATTCAATATTATTTCTTGACGAGATGAACAGATAAGATTTCAAATAACGTGTTATTAGGCGGCCTACACTTAAAAATGAGGTCACACTCTCAGTTTCGTTAATACAACATCCATCCTATTCTCCGAAACAACATGAGCTCCTTTCAAAATGCATGGAAAGTTTCCGTTTTCTTTTTCAATTTTCACCAGCTGTTGTTTTAGAGTAACCTTTTTTTATAGTACTTAACTGATTCTTGGTTATTTTGGATAAGGTCGTGTTTTTTTACTTCAAATATTGTATTGGGCGAAAACATTTTTTGTATTATATAAATAAAAAATTGCCGTAAATCTATTTGGTTGTTCTGTTTGTATCTTTTATTTATTTTATTTTTTATTGCTTAGATGGGTGGACGAGCTCACAGCCCACCTGGTGTTTAGTGGAGCCCATAGACATGATGAGACGTAAGTGCGCCACCCATCTTGAGAAATAAGTTCTAAGGTCTCAGTATAGTTACAACGGCTACCCCACCCTTCAAATCGAAACGCATTACTACTTTACGGCAGAAGTAGGCGGGGTGGTGGTACCTACCCGTGCGGACTCACAAGAGGTCCTACCACCAGTATTTGTCTGGTTTTGATATCATTAAGCACATAATAATTTACAACAAATTGAAAACAGTTTCCTGCTATTTCTAGTACTATTTTCATACTACTATTATGCTTTAAATTATACCTACCTACTATTTTTTCTGTACGCCAAAAAAAACTGTAACGTTTTTGGACCTATCACAATATCAATAAAAGCAGGATATAATTGGTTCAAGCGTTTTCAGTACAGGAAATTTGATGTCAAAGATTATGTTCGTTCTCATCGACTTCATAAGCCTAAAAACATATTACCATTTTTGAGAAAGTGAAACAAAATCGGTACTATTTTGGTAATTAGTATATAGCTGAATAACCAGAGGCTGAAAAAGTGTATTAACTAAAAGAAAGCGCAATTTAAAAAGATCATGGTCAAACGGAAGTCAAGTTCCACGGACAGCAAAATCTATTTTAAATAAATATTGAGAAAGGTTGGCCAGTGCATGCATCCACCATATATCCATGGCGCATGCATGAATATGACACTGTCCAAAATATTTGTCGCCGTCATTTGATGATACCTAAGTCCTAAAATTTCTACAGAAATGAAATTATATCACAACCTACAAAATGGCAAGAAACTATCGAGCAAAGTGGCATTTTTGTATTGCAATCGAAGGGAATAAACTATGATTAAAAGTATCTTGGATATATGTATAAATAGGAAAAATACTTTTTCGGCAACCTATTAATATTTTAAATTTACCTTTAAAATTTCGAAAACTATAGCAGCGAATGTAATAAACCTAATTAGATACAAAAGGCATACAAGATCCCCGATTTCTATATTAAAAGAATTAAACGAATTTAATTGTAATGCTAGTGTTAGCAACTCCTAAACACTGTTCAGCTACTTTTAGGAGTAACCTTCGTTAGATACTTGACCTCTAAATGCTAGAACAATATACCTCCACTGAAAAATACCTAATAAATTAAAAGCAAAAAGCATATATTTTATTTATCTGTATATAAATCTGTTATTCAAGTTCTTATTTCAATAAAAATATAGTTATTTTTTGGTGCTTGTAATAGTTTTATTGTTTCAATAAAAATGTACATAAATGACACATGTGCTACCATCTATTGTCCGGTACATACATTACCAATTTTTAATGAAAAATAATCTTTAATTATCAAAGCTTTCAATCTATTTTGTTTAACCTTAGTTTATCCTCAAATGACGTTATTATTGGATTTATTCAAACGAATACACATCTACATTCGCCTATATTTTTAAGCACTCTGCATACATACAACATAACTGAGTCGTCTATTATCAAAGGTGGCAATCTGTGCATTTGGACAACAAAATTTTATTGATATGTCAATACAGATTGATTTGAATATAATCGTCTCCTTCAAAGAATACGGTTCAAAACCTGCATTAAATAAAGGTTAATAGTTAACCTGTTATTTATCTAAGATGTCGTTCCGAAGAGTTTTGTGACTGCCGATGGAATACAAAGTCAATAATTCGTTTTTCTGATTTACCAATCATTGTCCAAAAGTCAGATTGCCGCCTTTGATAATAGTCGACTCAACTGTCAGTTTGGTAGATTTTTTGGCGGGAACGTGAGAAGCGAAGTTGTGTGAATTGTTTTATTTTGCTCATTTAGTCTTTCTTCGGTTTTAAACATATAAAAACAGTGATTTATTAACAGTTTAGCGTCTGTGAAAGTGCAAAAATGTAGAAAAAAAAAAGCCGTTGGTTGTAGCTTCTCGGGTTCTTCCAAAAAGTCAGCTGGAATGTTCTCAGTAAATAACCACCATTTTACTGAGGTTTTATTTTATCCCATCTCATCTCGTTTAATTTAATTTCATTCCAATTGATTAGAGTCTCAAATATTTCATTTCGCTTTAAATCATTTTTCATGCAATAACGGAACTTAATAAGAAAAAACAAAACTTGGCTCAAAGGTCTTGTTACCAGGCTAGAAAATCATTTTAAGTTATTACCATAAAGTTATGGAGGATAGAGGTAAGGAAAACCGTCTGTTTGTGTGTGAAAAAGTGTCCGTTATAATCTGCTAAATGAGGGTGGCGCTACAGTAGCAACTGGGTAAATTTAAAAAAAGGCGCTGAAAGTTATTAGAATAAGATAGAAAAATAAAAAAGACGAGAGAACTGTAAGCACTACAAAATCACAAAAAATATTTTATTGAAAGCTGATAAGAAGATGCAATCGATGTCTCCACATTTTACCACAGCAATAATTTTAGGTTATATTGACGAAATTAGTTTGGAGTACGTAAACATGTGAGGCCTTGTATATTACACTGTCACTAACTACGCTAGTCATTAAATAATTAAATTTCCTAACTCAACATACTTTAATCCAGTTAACAACTGCTCAATTCATATCATACCCTGTGCCTATGCTAGCGCCGTGCAAGGAGAACCGTCTCATTTGGGAGAAGCTTGAAAAAGTGTCCCACTTTCAGTACTAAATAAATAATAGTCTAATAACTATCAGCGCCCTTTTTAAAATTTACCTGGTTGCTACTGTAGCGCCACCCTTATTAGCAGATTTTAACGGACACTTTTCACACACACAGAGACGGTTCTCCTTGCCTATACCCTCCAGAGTTCTTAGAAAAAAAAAATTTTTATTATATGACATTGGGCTCATTGAATTAGGCCCCCTTCTTTATTTTCAGATTTTTTAATTTTTTTATTATTTGTTCGTCGTTTGTTCGTTAATGTTCGAATGTAAACATCAAATATAGGGAACGTGGTTCTTTTTTGGAATATAAAATTTCATATGTGAGTCGACTATTATCAAAGCCGGCAATCTGACTTTTGAACAATGATTGGTAAATCAGAAAAACGAATTATTTACTTTGTATTCCATTGGCAGTCACAAAACTCTTCGGAACGACATCTTACATAAATAACAGGTTAACTATTAACCTTTATTTAATGCAGGTTTTGAACCGTATTCTTTGAAGGAGACGATTATATTCAAATTAATCTGTATTGACATATCAATAATTTTTTTTTGTCCAAATGCACAGATTGCCACCTTTGATAATAGACGACTCATGTAATCATTTTTGGGAAATGTATAATGTGAAGATATTTAGCAATATTATTTTTCTTTAAAATGTAACCAAATTCTGAAACTCTTTGTATTTTAATTATTTTTTATTATTTGTTCGTCGTGTGTTCGTTAATGTTCGAATGTAAACATTGTTTGTTCGTCTTTTATTTATTTATAATTAATTAAACAAATTATCACCCTTAAGTTGGCCCTCTTACTAGATATCTTTATTTTTATCGCTCATATTAATTAATTATAATCAATTATCGTTTGTTCGACGACCATTGGTGATTGTTCGATCATAAAAACAATTACATTCCCAATTATTAATTATTTTATATCTAATAAGCAAAACATGACCTCACCCCTACATTGCGCATGCGCCGGTTTTGTCAGTCAGCTCGCAATGGCCGTATTTACTAGCGTTTTGTTAACAAGTGCGTTTATACTGTCTAATTATTTTTTATGTAGATCACAAAAATATTTAAAACTTCAATAACACTTCAACAAAAAAATGTCAGTGAAGACGGCCAATTAGTCGTTAAAGTACGATTAGCACGGTTTTAGTAAATTCAGTTATTTTTAATGATGTTGAATATTATTAATTTTATTATTATTTTTTATTGCCCTTGTAGGCAGATGAGCATACGGCCCACCTGATGCTGAGTGGTTACCGTCGCCCATGGACTTCAGCAATGCCAGCGGCAGAGCCAAGCCGCTGCCTACCGCTAAAGGTACAAAGGACACATACTCAGGTTTTTTTTAAATAAAATCCTGTTTATAGAGTATATAAATATATATACTAAGTTTATTCTTCCATATTAAATGAATTTCTACTAAATGTCCCTGCAATATATTATTATTTCTTGAACTTATAAATAATTATCATTTCAACAAAAATAGTTTTTCTGTGCATTACATTTACATTTTTTGAACTACATAGTAAATTTAGGAATTATTAATTTTATTATAAAATACAAGTATGATCATTAACTCCTATTGCATGGTAATTAATAGTATAATTTTAACACGAAAGTTGTACTCCTAAAATATTCTTAGAAATCACTGAAATTTCTATATGCTTGTTAATATTCAATATCATTAAAAATAACTGAATTTATTAAAACCGCGCTAATCGTACTTAAACGACTAATTGGCCGTCTTCACTGACATTGTTTTGTTGAAGTATTGTTGTAGTTTTCAATATTTTTTTGATCTACATATGAAATAATTAGACAGTATAAACGCACTTGTTAACAAAACGCTAGTAAATACGGCCATTGCGAGCTGACTGACAAAACCGGCGTATGCGCAATGTAGGGGTGAGGTCATGTTTTGCTTATTAGATATAAAACAATTAATAATTGGGAATGTAATATTAATAATAATAATATAACTCTTTATTTATATAACACCTTAATATGTACAGATTAAACTAATAAAACAAAAGTCGGTGATATAAATCGGCGGCCTTATCGCTGAAAGCGATCTCTTCCAGGCAACCTTGCAGGGAGAGGAATAAGTTAACTGGACGGTGCTATATCGTAATAAACTTACATAAAAATATATACTTAAATACACATGTGAAAAATAAATACCATATAAGATAAACTTACATACGATTAAATACAAATAAATACTAAAAATATTGTAATTGTTTTTATGATCGAACAATCACCAATGGTCGTCGAACAAACGATAATTGATTATAATTAATTAATCTGAGCGATAAAAATAAAGATATCTTGTAAGAGAGCCAACTTAAGGGTGATCATTTGTTTAATTAATTATAAATAAATAAAAGACGAGCAAACAATGTTTACCTTCGAACATTAACGAACAAACGACGAACAAATAATTAAAAATTAAAAAAATCTGAAAATCAAAATAAGGGAGGCCAAGTTCTGTGAGCCATGACATTGATAGAAAGATTAATGTCAGGCTAAATTTTGAGGCAATGCCTCTACTTCATCTGAGCAACTGATAATATACTCACCTTGAAAAGCGGCGACATTTTCAATTAATTGATAATAACTACAATGCTTATTAACAAAACTACTTAAATTGATCTGTATTTTCTAAAAAAAACATTACAAATTAATTCTTAATCAAAGCCTAACCCATGAACCTCTGGCGGCGATCTGTCACTGCTGTCAGGTAATTAGAAATTCATGTGTAATCTATGAAAACACGGGTAGTCTATGGATCGGAAGACGACAAAGCTGGAAGTTGAAACAATTGAAGATATAATAGGTACGCATAAACAAACAACAAATTAATCATTGTTTTGTGAAACTGCATTAAATTTACTGTAAAAAAAGAGAAATTTAATAGAGTTACACATATATTTGCTTCAAATTTCAATAATAACTTACTACAAAACAGCAATCGTTGAAGAAAGGAATCGTGAAAAGGATGTCACGAAGTGGCGCTGCTTTAAATGAGATGTTGTACGCGAGCAAAAGAGATAGATATATTGGTTGAATTTGGCTGTCAAAGCCATTATTACTTCGTACATACATACTTATCCCAATTTTATGAATCAAATATTGTTTTTGTACGACTATATGAGTGCTCCGTTTCATGATTGCTACCTGTACATATATGCTATAAACCAAAATTCATATATAATTTTATAGAAGGCATCCCATCGAAATACACCAAGTACAATAACATAGTTTATATACATTTCAATTACTACCCTTTCTGTAGTGTTTACTATTTTCCAATTTCAGATGTAAATGAGAATAACGATGTTTTATCGTGAAAAATAAATATACTGTGTTGTGATATAAAAATAAATTATTTTGTTGGTGTAAAAAATATATTAAAGCTCCAATGATGAAAAGTACTTTGCCAAAAGACAAAATACCTGGCAAAATGAGGATCAGAGCTTTCCCTGTAAGTATTCTATTTTTGTTATTGATAATTCAAAAATAATAATAGGTTCATTGAATTAATTGTCACTATTAATATGCTTATAATATTCATTCCAACACAAGTAACAGTTTTGATGTTCAACTTTCAAACCTATTTGTTTTATTAGATAGTAATAATTTAATTCCCTATCATCACTATCACCTTGATGCTTTAAACATACAGGTCAGACACTGGTCATAATTGAAGAAGAATTACTTTTCTTATCGAACATGTCATTGTGTGAATGTGTATTTTCTGTTTTTCACACAATTATCATTTACGATCACTCCTAAATGATAATTGTTAGTTATAATTAAATGATAATTAAGTCACCTAAAACTTTATAAATGAAAATATTTGTAAAACATATTATGCTAATACATAAGCTTGGTTGGTTTCAAAACATGGTACCTTATTTAAAGATAATGAGTAAAGTATAAAGATCATATTCATTTTAAAGTCCCTTAGAGATAAGACAATTCATTATATTATTTTTTTCTACCCAAAATTTAATATCATATTTTATTTTACTGTGTGAAGTACAGTTCCTACTCTACAGTTCAAATTGGTAATTTTTATGCAAAAAATATATTTTGTAGTTAAATAGTTATTAATTCAAATATAGGGAATCTGGTTCTTTTTTGGAATATAAATTATTATTTGGAATATTATTTTTCTTTAAAATGTAACCAAATTCTTAAACTCTTTGTATTTTTATTATTTTCATTTCCATTAAATGTGTCAGATTACTATTTTGACATAAGAGTGACATAAAAATAAATGAAATTATTTTCTACAGATTTATACATTTTTAGATTATTGATAAATTATTTTTGTAAAATGTTTTCATATGTGGTTTAAAATGTTTATAAATAAAAATCAAAATGATTAGAAAATTTAAAGTTTGGAACTTCTCAGAGCCTTACTACCAAATGTATCCAGACACTTGGGTCTGTTTTTATTAATTTAATTATTTTTAATCTGGTTTTTGATTCCTTCGTAGATAGTTTTTTGCATTTTTGCATATTAGTAATGATTGAATATAGAATAAAGCAATAATAAATATGATAATTGAAACTTTAATTTCATGTCTCGTGGTGAATGGTGAATTTCTGGTTTAGATATCTTTTGGCTTTGGTACCCATTTAATATCAGGTAGGCTGTGAGCTTATTCTCTGATTAACAGCAAGAAATGAAAACAAACCTTTAGTGCTGTAATGCCATTATATTGTTTGTGTAATTCAGAAATCAACTAGTGTGCTTAAATGAATTTTTGAAACTATCCAATTCTGAGTCTTTTAATGAAATTGACTATCTGACTGCTTATATACTTAGACTATAGTCTATAGTCTAAGTATATAAGCAACCCGAAATTCCTTCTCTTCCTTTGTTTGTTGGTAATTTATGCACATCATATTAAATGAAAAAAGATAATTTAATCTTGTATAATATTGTCAGAAAAATCTTATCTTAGTATATATCTTGCATTAAACATTATATGTCAATTATTTTAATTATATATTTATAGTTTAGTAGTTGTAGAATAAATTAATGTAGGTGTAGTTTTTTTAATTTTTTTTTATTGCCGTATAAGCATACGGCCCACCTGATGGTGAGTGGTTACCGTTGCTCATGGACGTCAGCAATGCCAGGGGCAGAGCCAAGCCGCTGCCTACAAAAGTTTTTTGGATACACTAAAAAAACTAGAAAAGAGAGTTAACATTCTTCAGTTTTACTATCTTCTAATGGGGAAAACTTAATATCTTAAATCTACACTCTACAAATAAGGTTTAAGATAACATTATTTATTGATGATAAATCTAGTGACTGTGTGCATATGTGTCTGCAGACATATCTCACGTTTTGTCCCATACAAAAATTTATATTAATGAAAGTTTCCTTAAAGATAAGAAAGAAATAGTAGCAAATAAATAAATATAATACAAATTGAGGATTTTGTTTTAAGAAGAATAATTTAAAAATAATTACTAAATGTTTATTTATTGACTGACTTACATTACAAATGAAATATATTATAAATCAAAAAATAAAACATTTTCAGATGACTATGGATGAGAAGTATGTGGAGCGTATATGGAGCTTGTTAAAGAATGCCATACAAGAAATACAAAAGAAAAACAACTCTGGACTATCATTTGAAGAGCTTTACCGTAATGCATATACAATGGTACTGCATAAACATGGAGAAAGACTATACACTGGCCTCAAGGAAGTAGTCACTCAACATCTTGAAACTAAGGTTTATTTTTACTCCTTTTGGATTTATTACTTTGAGGCTACTCTAATTTCACTAATTAATGGGATTTTCAATTTCTCAGGTCCGAGAAGATGTATTGCATTCATTACACAATGGTTTCTTACAAACTCTCAACAATGCATGGACTGACCATCAAACCAGCATGGTCATGATAAGAGATATTTTGATGTATATGGACAGAGTTTTTGTTCAACAAAATGAAGTTGACAATGTCTACAATCTTGGGCTCATTATCTTCCGAGATCAAGTAATAATCTAAAACTACTTGTTAATTTGTAATTCAAATGGTTATAATTATTATTATTTTTACTTGTTGAGCATTAAATATGCGAAATGCTTTCTCATATATTAATATTGTTTTATTACAGGTTGTTCGTTATGGATGCATTCGAGATCATCTTCGTCAGACACTGCTAGAGCTTGTTGCTCGTGAACGTCGAGGCGAAGTTGTGGATCGTCTGGCGATTCGAAACGCCTGTCAGATGCTCATGGTTCTCGGTATCAACTCCAGAGCTGTTTATGAAGAAGACTTTGAAAAACCTTTCCTGCATCAGTCATCTGAATTTTATAGAGTATGTAGACTTAATCGGTATCAATTTATAAAAAAAAAAAATCAATTTTGGGAAATCATAGTTTCAAAAAGATTATTAAAATTAAACTATATTTAAGAAATGTCCATAAACGTTATTGATATCAAGCGCGCATATCGGTAAATACAAGCTTGCTATTACTAAATGACTTAAGTGCTCTATTTTTTCTTGTAAAGTTGGCCCCTTGTCTTCTCTTGTCATTAAAACAGAACACAGAAAACGCCTCTATGCCATAGAGACTTGAGAACTTTCCCTTTATTGGGTTATTTTATATCAGTAAACAAGTAATACCAAGCCTTCCTTCCAAACCACCTTAACATTGAGTTGCTACTAGATCCTATATTCTGTTGATTAATTGATAATTTGGGTAGAAATAAAAAAGTATTATTTTTCTTTAATTAAAATTATACAGTCTTTTGTTCTGGCACATTAGATGGAATCTCAGAAGTTCCTGGCGGAGAACAGCGCGGCCGTGTACATCAACCGCGTGGAGGCCCGCATCTCTGAGGAGGCGGAGCGCGCGCGGCACTACCTGGACGAGTCCACCGAGCCGCGGGTCGTCTCCGTACTCGAGCACGAACTCATCGAGCGACACATGAAGACTATTGTCGAGGTAAACGCACTTGTACAATCGATTATTCTATTATAAGACTTTTATGGCGGGAACGCGAGGAGTGAAGTTGTGTTTATTGTTTTATTTTGTCAATTTAGTGTTTCTTCAGGCTTAAATGTGTAATAACGGTGGTTTATTAACTGTTTAAAATCTGTGGAAGTGCACAAATGTGGGGAAATTAAACAAAGCCGCTGGACATAACTTCTCGGGATCCTCCAAAAAGTCCGTTGAAAAAATATCAGTAAATGACCACCATTTTACTGAGATTATATTTCATTTAATTTCATCCCAGTTGATTAATGTCTCAAATTAATCATCTTCATTTCATTTCATTTCACTCCATCTTATCATTTTTCATAAAAATAAGAATATACATTATAATAAGACATGACTTAAAGGTCTTAGTTACCAGGTCATAAAATCAGTTCATTACGTACTAGACAGACAAGGGTTCGGTTGGTTCTGTTCAGATGGAGAACTCTGGCGTGGTGCACATGTTGACGCACACGCGCACGTCGGAGCTGGGCTGCGTGTACAAGCTGCTGTCGCGCGTCGGGGAGGGGCTGCGCACGGTGGCCGACGCCGTGTCCGCGCACCTCCGCGAGCAGGGCCGCGCGCTCGTCACCGACACGCTGCACAACACCAACGCGATCGCATACGTACAGGTGCGTACGTACGGACTCGACAAAACAGTATATATGAGTCGTCTATTATCAAAGGCGACAATCTGTGCATTTGGACAAAAAAAATTTATTGATATGTCAATACAGATTGATTTGAATATAATCGTCTCCTTCAAAGAATACGGTTCAAAACCTGCATTAAATCAAGGTTAATAGTTAACCTGTTATTTATCTAAGATGTCGTTCAGAAGAGTTTTGTGACTGCCAATGGAATACAAAGTCAATAATTCGTTTTCTGATTTACCAATAATTGTCCAAAAGTCACATTGCCGGCTTTGATAATAGTCGACTCATATATCGACGCTTGAAAGGCGAACGTGACTAAACGACAATAACTGCTTTATACATAAATGATAGGCAATAACCATATTCGATGCGCAAAAATATATATATTTCTAGGTCTATTAAAATCATTTCAATCCTACAGCTACTAGCTAGATTCTACTACAGCTAGATTTGTTAAAATCAATTTTGTTTTCAGGTATTTCAACTTTAAATTGGTCTACTGTAAAGTTCATGCATTGTCGCTTAGTCACGTTTGCCTTTCAAGCGTCGATATAGTTTTAAAATCGTATTTCAAAAATAAATACCCGAAACAAATTATTTAATACCCCTCTCTTTAACTGCGAAAACTGCCATAATATGTTTAAGTATACTCAATCTGTAGCTGTTGTTATGCACACATAACAAAGTTCTGTTTATTCAATTATATGTAATAGACTGACTAACTAGAGGTTATTTCAATTCTTCCAGAACCTTCTTGATCTAAAGGACCGATTTGACCATTTCCTACAAAATTCATTCAACAACGATAAAATATTCAAGCACATGATCGCATCAGACTTCGAATACTTCCTTAACTTGAATAATAAGTCACCGGAATTCTTGTCATTGTTCATTGATGGAAAATTAAAGAAAGGCGAAAAGGGGGTAAGTATTAAAATAACATTCAGAAATTCTGCTCACGAATCTAGTTCCGCAATTCTACAACATGCGTTTTCTATTACAGATGAGCGAACAGGAAATCGAAGCTGTGCTGGATAAAACAATGGTACTATTCCGATTTTTACAAGAGAAGGACGTTTTCGAACGTTATTATAAACAGCATCTAGCGAAACGGCTCTTACTCAATAAGTCTGTCTCTGATGACAGTGAAAAGAACATGATCTCCAAACTTAAGGTCAGTATTCTATAATGTACAATATTTTATATGATCTTCGAACTTTGATAATAAGTATTTTGTAACATATGAAATGGAACAGAGTTTATTGCAAGTGTGCATCGGTTGGTATCACCGCCCTTCCTATTTTACCGCGAATCAATCATGCGTTCAAGTTTGATAATTTCTCGAGAAAATTAGAGCCTAAATATCATACAAATGCACTCATATTTGCTACGAAAATTTGTGCTGCCTGATTATTTAGAATTAAACTACTAGACACACTATACTACATTTTGTACCTATATATGGTGTTAGTTTTTTAATCAAACATAACTAATTAATTTTGAAGTTACTCCATACAATGAATATCATTATCATTTAACCAGAACGAAGGGTTATTGAGGGATGTGGAACTCCGCGACTATCACTGCATTATCGGTGACTTTTCGCAAATTGAAAACTAGAACAGTGACCGTTAACACATCACAATAACACGACCCGTTCTATTGTGCCTGTTTAAATTTGCAAAATTCTTTACCATATGGATATATTCGTTTGTGAGTCCAAGTATTTTTTCAATGTATTTCAAGTAAGTTTTAAACGTAGAACTTGCTTAAAGTCTTCTGTGGGACTTCTAATTGTGATTTGCTTTAAAATATTTAAAAGGAAAACGTAAAGAATTTTGCAGATGTAAATGTAAACAGACTTTAAGCAGGTGATTTAAAAAAAAAGTAGAATAGTTAATAGAAATAAATCCTAATGAGTAATAAAAAGTTCCTCCTTTTTTTCAAAGACATTCATAAAGTAGATGTTTATTATCGAGCAAAAGATAAAAATTATTTAATTAGTATACAGAAAACAGACAACTATGGTCCGACGAGTTTATAAAAAAAGACAGATAGCTAATATTTATCTATCACACAATTGTGGTGTATTTTTATTTTGCATATCTTAAACTGTATCCTTAGGTGTTCACCAATTTTTCTAAATAATCTTAATACCTTTCTTTCGTCGACGTTGGAAAGTCGGATGTGCTGTAATCCCGCCCGGAACAGCATTACCAGCCTGTCTGCTTCTGCCGTAAAGCAATCGTAAATTCCTAATTAACACACTAGGACAAGGGACCGTTCTTCCTCCATTCATATTGTGGTGTCGTGTGACGCCCGCACATTGGGAGCATCAAACGAAATCGTCGACTCATATGCTTATCGTATTTAATAAACCCTTTCTTTGTCTCGTTTTAGACTGAGTGTGGTTGTCAGTTCACATCAAAATTAGAGGGTATGTTCAAGGATATGACCGTCTCTAACACCATCATGGATGAATTTAAGGAACACGTGCTCTCTAGTGGGGTAAGTTTATTTACCAACATTATCTGTTCGAATCGTTTGGAACCTCTGGGTCTGCGGAGGAACTTTGGTTCATTCTGTATTTTGTACCGTATGTTCCATGGGGAGTGCTCTGAGGAATTGTTCGAGATGATACCGGCTTCTCGTTTTTACCATCGCACCGCCCGCCACCGGAGTAGAGTTCATCCATACTACCTGGAGCCACTGCGGTCATCCACAGTGGGTTTCCAGAGGTCTTTTTTGCCACGTACCATCCGGCTATGGAATGAGCTCCCCTCCACGGTATTTCCCGAGCGATATGACATGTCCTGCTTCAAACGAGGCTTGTGGAGAGTATTAAGCGGTAGGCAGCGCCTTGGCTCTGCCCCTGGCATTGCTAAAGTCCGTGGGCGACGGTAACCACTCACCATCAGGTGGGCCATATGCTCGTCTGCCAACAAGGGCAATAAAAAAAAAATAATGAAAAAAATATAAAAAAAAAAATTGTATCGATAAGTCGATATTACTAGGTACCGCAGTGCAACCATTTGTTTTAGTATGAAGAATGGGCTAACCGCTTTTCTAAACACTTTTGGAAATCTATTCCACCTTATATCATCCCAAGGTGGGTGGCGGCATTGACGTCATACATGACCTCTAATCTCTATATTACTTATTTAACACCAATGGAACCACGAGCTAGTACACTAACTTAAGCTAATAAAGAAATCTTCACAAATTTTCGGGAACATAAATATGATTTCTAAACTCAAGTTTTGAAGGCACTACGGATCATTATAAATAAAATAAGCTTATAAATAAATCTATACTAATATATAAATCTACAGTGGTTTTTACGGATGTTCCGTTATAACTACTGAACCATGCATCTGATTTACTTGAAACTTGGTATCCATGTAGAAAATACATGTACTTAGTGGATAGGCTAATTAATATTATGTATATGAGTGTTGGACTCCCTAATAATAATGACAATAAATAATAATGTTAATTTTAAATGCCCAGCGAAGCAGGCGAGTATGGTTAGTACTATATAAAAATAAGACATTTTCGTCGTTAAACACTTATGCATGTAAAGAACAGTGCGCATTCACAGCTGAACTTGTACGGAGTGGATCTGTCCGTCCGCGTGCTCACGACCGGCTTCTGGCCGACGCAGAGCGCGACGCCGAAGTGCAACATACCGGCTGCGCCCAGGAACGCATTCGAAGTCTTCAGAAGGTCAGTACAGGCATTCCTCTCAACTCAATAGGAAACCAAATTTTACAAAACGCGGTTGATCGCAACTCACCACGTGTGACGTCATTCAGGGCCATCGCAAGCCACGGACTAATCATGGAATGAATCTGATTCAGTCCTTCAGCAGGACTCACTTTTCTGGTTGGTGGGTAAAATGTATCAATAGAAAAAAAGTATAAATATAACTTTGTCTATGATCTCACATAGAGGGAGGCGACCTCAGACTAAAAAGGATTGTCATTTCTCAATATTACATAAACGAATCTCTAGCACAATACTATCAACAAATAGCATTAGGCGCCGGTAATCAAATGGGTGTATTTCATGTTTAGCGACGGTGTACCGTGGCAGGTTTTCGCTAGTCTATATTATACAAGGAATTGCTGTTCGTTAGTCTCGCTAAAACTCGCAAACGGCTGGACAGATTTAGCTAATTTTGGTCTTGAATTATTCGTGGAAGTCCAGAGAAGGTTTAAAAGGTGAATAAATATGAAAATGCTGCGTGTACTTATGTACGCGCGTAAGAAGTAATACTTTATTTTTATTAAATTTATTTCTTTTTTTTTATTTAAATTTTAATCAATTTGAAAAAAAATCGATTAAACAACATCCTCAAACACGCATATTGTACATCCCTTTTCTTGACATCGTATAAATTCGGTAATTCTCGGTACGGTTCGGAAAGTTCACCTGCGGCTATATTCAGACTCGCCAAGTTACGTCGGTCGTATTGTAATGAGCGATTTAGTGGGCAACTTCATTCTGTTAATTTTGTGTCACGGTGCGCGCGCATCGTAAAATTTCACTGTCATCAATTTTTCATAACGCGCCTAAAGAAGTATAACTTCAAAAAGAAACAAATTTGTTTTTCCTTTGATGTGTCCCTTGTCGGACGGATTCCTTTTGCGTTTTTTTTATGTTTATTTTATACAAAAGTGTAGGTCTTTTATTTATCGATTGAGGCACTACGAAGTCTGCCGGGTCAGCTAGTAAATTCATAAATATATGAAGGACTTCTAGACGCTGTTACGAATGTTCGGGAGAAGCATTAACTTTCTCTGCTCGCTTTGCAGCTTCTACTTGGCGAAGCACTCCGGGCGGCAGCTGTCCCTGCAGCCGCAGCTGGGCAGCGCGGACCTGCACGCCACGTTCGGCGCCGCGCCCGCCTCCCCGCCCGCGCCCGCCGCGCCGCGCCGCCACATCATACAGGTCTCCACCTTCCAGATGTGCGTCTTGCTGCTCTTCAACCAGCGCGACCGTCTCACCTACGAGGTCAGTTTTCGACCTTCGGTTCCAGATTTTTAATACATACAATCTATACTAATATATAAATCTACAGTGGTTTTTACGGATGTTCCGTTATAACGACTGAACCATGCATCCGATTGACTTGAAACTTGGTATCTATGTAGGAAATACATGTACTTAATGGATAGGCTAATATTTCTATGAGTGTTGGACTCCCTACACCAGTTGCGGGGGCGTTAATGATGAGAATCTTTCTGGGGGTGAGAAATAATAATGTTCATTTTAAATGCCCAGCGAAGCTGACGGGTACAGCTAGTGTTAGTATAAACAGATATTAATATAAATGGAGGATAACATGAGAGGGAGGGCTATTAAAAGACTGGGGACTTTTTGGCGGGAACGCGAGGAGTGAAGTTGTGTGATTTGTTTTATTTTGTCTATTTCGTGTTTCTTCGGGTTTAAATGTGTAATAATAGTGGTTTATTAACTGTTTAATATCTGTGAAAGTGCACAAATGTGGGAAAATGAAATAAAGCCGCTGGACGTAACTTCTCGGGATCCTCCAAAAAGTCCACTAAAAAAATCTTAGTAAATGACCACCATTTTACTGAGATTATACTTCACCCCGTATCATCTCATTTAATTTCATCCCAGTTGATTAATATCTCAAATTAATCATCTTCATTACATTTCACTCCATAATATCATTTTTCTTAAAAATAAGAATATAAATTAAAATAAGATTTGACTTAAAGGTCTCAGTTACCAAGGTCATAAAATCCCTTAAAAAATTAAAAGACTGGGATGGGCTGTGTGAAAGGGGATATGCGAGAGACGGGTGTGAAGATAGTGCAGAGGTGACGTATTGGAAAAAAAGGAAATGCGGCGCCGACCCTACATATTGGGTTATGGACAAGAAGACTGTTAATATATACAAACAGAAGAAAAAATGTACTTAACCATTTTGTCTTTGCCGATTTGTATACAAATGTTGGGTCTGTTTCTAAGTTTTTATATGAACTTTAGGTTCCTAACGTCGGAACTACCTCTTGATTGAAACTCAACCTATAGACTACAGATTATAATAATATAGATTAATCATTTAAAAAAAACTTATTCTAAAGATGAACGCACAGACTTCTCTAGTTTATTATAGTCAATATAATTATAATTTGCTATAGGCATATATGACTTATGCTTTTAAAAATGAAATATACTCTGCCTTTTACAAACTTCTACAACTAACCAAACTGATTGCAGGAATTACTCAACGAGACTGATATACCGGAAAAGGATTTAGTCCGCGCGCTTCAATCGTTGGCCATGGGCAAGCCGACCCAACGAATTCTCATCAAACATCCTAAAACTAAAGAAATTGAACCCTCACATCAGTTTTACGTCAATGATGCCTTCACATCTAAGTTACATAGGTAATTTTTAACATTTAAACACATTCCATGGATTAATAACGAAGAACCTCTATGGAAATATATTGCAATTATTCATTAAAATTTGCGCTCGTCTCTCTGGTCCATTTGTAGATCCATTGGTACGTAAAATCTCGAACGTATTACAACGTATTACGTAATAACAAATGTACCTGGCCTTCCCGGTTCATTTCACTTATCAAGATAAACTGTTGTGTTAATCTGAGTATCTTGGTGCGAAATTTCATCAATTTGGATTTTGGATTACACATTTGGATATGGATGGACACATTTTGGATTTTTTTTATTTATTGCTTAGATGGGTGGACGAGCTCATAGCCCACCTGGTGTTAAGTGGTTACTAGAGCCCATAGACATCTACAACGTAAATGCGCCACCCACCTTGAGATATAAGTTCTAAGGTCTCAAGTACAGTTACAACGGCTGCCCCGCCCTTCAAACCGAAACGTATTACTGCTTCACGGCAAAAATAGGCAGGGTGGTGGTACCTACCCGTGAGGACTCACAAGAGGTCCTACCACCAGTAATACCACCAGATAGAGTAACAAACGTCCAAACAAAAGTTTTTAAATATTAATATAGGTTTTTTTTTCTACCTATTCTGATAGCCTTGAGAAGCTATTTCAGCTTCACTCTAGCGTATAGGTGAGCTCTCGGGACTCGAACTGGAAGGGATTCTAACACTGGTTCTAGCAAAAGCAGTGCTTCCCAGAATCTACCACCGGATAATTATTTGTTCTTGACATATTTTTTTGCAGAGTTAAGATACAAACGGTAGCCGCGAAGGGAGAGTCGGAGCCGGAACGGCGCGAGACCCGCAACAAGGTGGACGAGGACCGCAAGCACGAGATCGAAGCAGCCATCGTGCGCATCATGAAAGCCAGGAAGAAAATGGCAGTACGTACTACTGTAGTTTCTGTTTATTGCATATTGTATAACGACTGACATAGTTCACACTGGAAAACACAATTCCTTCGCAATAGGCAAGACGGCGATAGGTACCTACCACTTCGATAAAGCGGCACGACATGAGAACCCCCTCATCGTGGCCGCCGGTAACTACATTCCCGATCCTGCAGAAAGAATGGAAAGCAGTCGACGTCGCTCAAAACACGTCATTTCGGATCCTCCCGATCCACTAACGGTGCCTAAAAAGGTACCTAAAGAGGTACTTCAAGCACCAGTCATCGTTCTCGTCGAACCCGTCGCTTGCGACGAAGGGCTCGACGAGTAAATTAACCCACAGACGCAGCCCACTGAGTTTCTCGCCGGATCTTCTCAGTCGCGGTCGCGTTTCCGATCCGGTAGATTCTTCGAAGCACGGCTCTTGCTAGGATTCGTGTTAACAACGTCGTCTGGTTTAAGTCCCGTGGGCTCACCTACTAGTTAAGGTTAAGCTGAAATAGCCTCTCAAGGTTCTCAGTTACGTAGGAAAAAAAAGGTACCTACCTACCCGTGCGGGCTCAGTACACCCTGCAACGGATAAATCAATTGAAGTTTTGTTATATATCTACAACTGTTTAAATAATAATTTGCTTTTTAAACTAATTTTCATAATAACATTAAAAACAACTAGATTTATGCTGCGAGCATCGTCAGCAGTAAAAATGAATTTCTAAACGTCACATCCCTAGTCATGTGGTACTGACAGATGTCAACGTCATACAGGCAACTGCCACCCGCACCGTGATACAGCGCACATAGTATAGATCTCTTGTTTCTTTTTTACAATTTTAAGGATGAGCCTTCAGGTAGGACTGGTGGTAGGACTTCTTGTGAGTCCGCGCGGGTAGGTACCACCACCCTGCCTATTTCTGCCGTGAAGCAGTAATGCGTTTTGATTTGAAGGGTGGAGCAGCCGTTGTAACTATACTGAGATCTTAGAACTTATAAGGTGGGTGCCGTATTTACATTGTAGATGTTTATGGGCTCCAGTAACCACTTAACACCAGGTGGGTTGCGAGCTCGTCCACCCATCTAAACAATAAAAAAAAAGTAATAGTTACTTGTTCATGGATATCCACTTATTGGAATAAATAATGTGAATTTATATTTTCATATAAATATTGTGAGACCACATTTTGGACCTCACGTTTCGAGATGCTTCTAGAATTATGCTCTTGTACAATGAATAAGAGAGTATGTAAGAGTGTTGTAATGAGCGCGTGTCGTCGTCAGCACACGCTGCTGGTGGCGGAGGTGACGGAGCAGCTGCGCGTGCGCTTCCTGCCGTCGCCGGTCGTCATCAAGAAGCGCATCGAGGGGCTCATCGAGCGGGAGTACCTCGCGCGCACGCCCGACGACCGCAAGGTGTACAACTACGTCGCATAGGTGAGACACTCTCCGTTCGAGCGACTTTCCGTTACTGTGAGAATAATAATATTACTGAAACCTTTCCTCGAATGCTCATTTATATAAAGGAATTATTGTAAATACCTGTGTAACTAAAACCTCGAATGATGTACTGCGACAGTGGCGGTGTCGCGAGCGAGCTACGTTGATTAAAAATATGTTTTGTAATCGCTATGTTTTATTGTGTTCTCCGACCTCGTAAACGTCGCGGTGCGATCGCCCGGACGAGCGGCGGCTCCTTGAACGGGTTTTATTTTCAGGCCCGCACCGTTCGAGATCGATTGAGTCCTCCTCGCGCCAATGTCGAGTTAGAAGTGATAGAATTAACAAAAGTATTTAAATTATTTCAAATAAAAATTATAAGTTAATGAAAAGTTATTTTATTTGTGAAACATAGAAGACATAAATAAAATAGTAAATCGATGGAATATTTACACAATGTAATAAAGCTTGAAGCTTTAGAACGATACGGATAGAAGAAGTTTTCAGGCAAATGTATGTTCAAACGTGGTCCGTGTGCATACTCGAACGCCGCCGGTTTGGTTACATCTATAAAACTTACATCTAAAGTTACCAAAGTCGAAACAGAATCCTCAATCAAACTTATATTCTTTCTTGTGACTTCAATTGAAGCATATATTATTCTATTACTTCGCTCCTCGTTTATAGTAATACAAGTGAATTGAAAAAAATATCTCGTCGCCAAATTGTAACACTGCAAATTCTTAGTTTTTTTATCATACTCACCGTAAACTATAGACGAGTCAATCGTGTTCGTATTCAAATTAATCCAATCTTCATCTTTTAAGCCTTCAGGATTTCCGAGGGGCGATACAAATATTTTGCCAACCAAATTTAAAGCTTTGGTTAAGTTGTTTTGAATATACCTACAACTTTTAGCATCCGTTACGTCTATGAAGTATTTATGCTCGTGTCTACATTTTAGCCTCTTGTTATATCCGAAAACTATTTGATTATCTGTTTTGTTATTGTAAACGCATTTCCCTTGTACATTTCCAGGGAGCGAGAAAGACTTAAATGCTTTTGCCTCTATTGGATCATCGTAGAAATCATCAGTGCGATTTCCTTCTGCGTATGAGACTAATAAAGGTCGACCGTCCACATATCCTGGAGTTCCACTTAAGCGTGTAACATTGTCCAGTGAGCGATTGGACATGACAAAATTCACGTTGACTATCTGAGTGAAAAACGGTAGAACGATCGACATATTTTGTACGTAAAACTTAAGTGTCGAATACGTAATTTTCGAATCGTAATAATTGAATATGTAATCAAGTTCCAAAACGAGGTTTGTGCAAAAATTCTCTACGCACTTTGGTTCGTGAACGTGCTCGTCGTAACGGGAACAGGATTGTTCGTTGCACGCTAATACAGTCCAGTTAGCGCAGTGAAGGGTAGAACAATTCTGTAATAAAAAAGTTATCTTCGTTAATGTTTTAAAGTAAACTAGCGACCCGCCCTCGCTTCGCTTCGGAAACTGTAATTTATTATTGATTTCTCCACTATTTAATGGATGTTATTATATATAAACCTTCCTCTTCAATCACTCTATCAACCAAAAAACCGCATCAAAATCCGTTGCGTAGTTTTAAAGATTTAAGCATACATAGGGATATAAGGGACAGAGAAAGCGACTTTGTTTTATACTGTGTAGTGATAAAATTGAATCTCGCCAAAAACGCCAGGAGCAAACAGGATTGAATTATTTGTCCTCAAAATTGCCTTAACAAGTAATTAAGTTAGTTTAGAATGATTTTTCAAGTTGACCATGTCTCAATGGTCTTAAACCATTAATTATATCAAAATTGAGATTTTTTTAAGACAAAGATAAATTATATTACTTGTGGTAGAGCATATTATTATAGCAAGGCACACAGGTAGGTACCTCCTTGCTGCTATTTCCATAGCGATAAAATACGGCACGTCCTATGAAATGATTAGGCAATACTTCACTAAATAAATAAACTTTCCACATTCAACGGCCTCCAGCTAAAAAAATCTGTTATGGTTATGGATTCCGGAAACACATACGAGACAAGAGTAAGTCTAGGTGGTACAGACGATACAGAAGAAGAAGGCGAAAGACAGAAGAGTAAGTATAGGTGGTACAGACGATACAGAAGAAGTATAGATGGTACAGAAGATACAGACGTATCACTACGACCAGGAATCGAAACCGGACACTGTGGTGCCGTAAGTCGGGATTACTAACACGAACTAGTTGACCAGTAACATAATACACAAAATATTTTCACTAATCTGTACCGATAATTCAGAGATCAACAAACTGGTACCTGAAAATACTTACCAATATTGTACTATTCATTGTAGAGTTCAAGACACTAATAATTGAAGTCACTTCAGAAATTCTCTTAACATTAAACATCTCAATATCACTCAGTTTCACATTACATTTAATCTTCTCATTATTCAAAAATCTAATTGGTTTTCTGTTTGTGCAGAAATTGTTAATATTTGCATATGGTAAATCTGCAAAAATGAAACAATGGGTCTTAATACAAATATTTGTCATAATAATATATAGGCAGATTGTTAAAAAAGTGCAGATATCCATCTCCATAATAACAAAACTTACTAATTTATATAGTATTGTGCTACAACTAAATAAACTATATTTTACCTAAATGGAAAATATCTCCGTTTTTTAAAATCCACAAATAATCTCCCTTAGCATAAGGTTTCCTTTGAAAATCTCGTGAAATGTTTGGTATATTAATAGATATCCATTTAAAATATTGACCAACTTCCTGTAATTGCGGCTGAAAAGATTTAAATTAGTTAGGTACCTATCAGACATGCTGTGAATTTAAATTAATACAAAGCTTCTTAAATAAAATTACTTACTTTGTACTGTGCAACCTTTCGTTTTTCTGGCAAGTTCGTTTGCACTACGCAGAATAGGTTATCAATGAATTTACCAAAATAGTTATGAAACAGATACAAGCTACAACTTTTGCTGTTAGGCCCATTTTGTGGAACTACCTTTGAACAATTAAATAATTGTTTTTCTTCTTCTGAACAGTCTCCATCACAACAACAATTAATATCGCATACCTTGTACTAAAAGTAAATTAATATTTTAATTTCCATCTGTTATTAATTCATTCATCGATTGGAATATAAAATTAATAAAACATTAACCTACCAAAAAATTACATAAACAGTTTTTATTGCTTGACTCTTTTGCATAGTCATTGGGTTTGTTTGTTGTTTGATTCTTGATTTCAAATATAGTTAACTCTGTAACTATCTCAGATTCAGTGCTTGTGAAAAATGTTTCTGTAGTAGAAATATTGTATATTGAACTATTTTCATCATAAAATACGTCCAATATTGTGTTTAAATTATCTGTGGTTGTAAATGTGAAGTCTGGTATAGAATCATTATAGAATATTATCTTCTTTGGTAGCACATTATATGGCTCAGCTGTGCGATAGTATAGAGCATGGGGCTTATCAGGAATGTATTGCAGTTTCTCTTTGGTTTGTTTATTTGGAGTAGATACATCAGGATCTATATGTTTACTATCTAATTGTGTTTTGCCTTGAATATAATCCATCACACAAAACTGTATTAAGACCGATAGTAATGTAAATGCAAAGTAGGTGATAATTCTCATTGTCCTTATTTATATTCAACTCCAAATTTGCTGAAGTTTCTTAATACAATATCAACGTTTAATTTGATAATACCTTTGGATCGAGTTTTCAACTTAAATCTAAAATCATATGTTTTTATTAATATTACATATCATTAAAATTGTTTTCATACATATTTTTTCATAACATTTGACAATCTTAAAATGTGTAAAACCATTGATTAAAAATGATCATTACAATAATTATTTTATTAAGTTCTTTATAATGTACCTATCATTTCCTAAGCTAATAATATCCAGATTTAAAAGCTGATGAGATCCTCCAATAAAATATTCCTTAAGTCTATCAGTCAGTGTAGTTGCAGCTGGAATCCAGGAGGGAATTTCAAGATTATGCAAGCCAGGTACTGCAGGAATATTACAATGAGCATATCCTACAACCCACGACCTACCGATGGAATCTACACAGCTAACCTGGAGAACTAGTTTAGGCCAACCTGAAATTATCCATTTTAAATATTAATATCTATTTAAGTAATTTAATTTAATAAAAATGGTATCAATATTTTTAAAATAACCTTGTATTCCTCTTGAAAGATAATGTATGTCAATTGAGTGTGACCATGCAACTGATTGTAACTCATCAGGTTCTGCCGCAACAGTCTGCCCTTCTGATGCACCAGATATTACAGTCCAGTTACATCCTTTAAATTAATATTAAGTACCTATGTAATGATTTATATCAAATAACAAACAATTTACCAACTTTTGTATTAAGTCAAAATCTAATGCATTTGCAATTTGAATTTACAAACTAGAAATCATCAAAACACTAATTTCACTCACCAGCTTGGAAAGAATATCGACAGAATAAGGAGTACTTTTCTGGAAAGTATTTCGTGCCTTGAATTTCCCCTAGAATATGCAGTTCTGCCATCAGACTGTTTTAGTATAATATCACGTTAATAATAAGTCATACTATTTGTTTTACATAATCATAAAGGAAAAAAAAGTTTTAAAAAGATATTATTCTTAATCTTTTAGATAAAAGCTACGAAAGTGAAAGACCGGAAAATTGTTATGACTTCAGTAATCAGACTCGTTGCCATAGTAACCACAGATAATCGACAACACCATTAGGTATTAGGTATTCGTGACAAGTGTCAATTCAATCACGAAAAAATATATGCTCTGTGCATCACAGGCATTTTTCAATGTTGATTTTTATCTATTATCTTAGTTTTCAGATGAGTTTCTCGGCTCAGTGAATTCGGCACCCCTTTTTTTATTTTTTATTATTTGTTTGTCGTTGGTTCGTTACTGTTCGAATGTAAAAATTGTTTATTCGTCTTTTATTTATTTATAATTAAACAAATCACCCTTAAGTTACCCCCTTACTATATATATCTTTATTTTTATCACTCGGATTAATTAATGTTGATCAATTATCGTTTGTTCGACGACTATTGGTGATTGTTCGACCATAAAAACAATTAAATTCCCAACTATTAATTATTTTATATCTAATATGCAAACCGTCACCATCAAAAATGTAAATGTAATGTACACAAAATCTATTTTTGTTGAAATGATAATTATTTATAAGTTCAAGAAATATATTGCAGGCACATTTAGTAGAAATATATTTAATATGGAAGAATAAACTTAGTATATATATACTCTATAAACAGGATTTTATTATAATATTCAATATCATTAAAAATAACTGAATTTATTAAAACCGCGCTAATCGTACTTTAACGACTAATTGGCCGTCTTCACTGACATTTTTTTGTTGAAGTATTGTTGAAGTTAGTTGAAGTTTTCAATATTTTTTTGATCTACATAAGAAATAATTAGACAGTATACAGACAGACAGTATAGTACAGTTACTTGTTAACCAAACGCTTGTGGGTGACTCACATGTATTCATTTATTTTATAATATTTAATTATAATTACACTACCCAACAAAACATACATACTTTATTTTATATCAACACATTCATTTATCACACAATCATACAAAACATTATTTACACTAAACAAAATTAAATTCACAAGAAAAGTCAGGCGATAACTGCAGTATAGCGGTGGCGATAATATTTCGCTAGTACATCAGTGCATAGACGAACCTGTCGTCGCATTTTTACCGATCCACCGCCACTTGTCTAAATCTGACTTGCGAACGCGCATCCAGTGTTATTCTTTCTTTACTACGCTTTTTAATTATTGCTTTTTTATTTGGTGTACCGCTTGTGTTGCTTGGACTATCTATTTCTTGTTTACTTTCTCCTTCTTTCTATATTTTGTGGTCGTCTTAAATAAAATCTTTCTTTGTGCCCATTTGTGTTTGCAAAGACTTTATAATACAACCCAAGACGACTAAACGCTAGTAAATACGGCAATTGCCAGCTAACTGACAAAAACGGCGCATGCGCAATGAGGTGATGGTTTGCTTAATAGATATAAAATAATTAATAATTGGGAATTTAATTATTTCTATGATCGAACAATCACCAATAGCTGTCGAACAAACGATAATTTATCAAAATTAATTAATCTGAGCGATAAAAATAAAGATACCTATAAAGGGGGCCAGCTTAAGGGTGATCATTTGTTTAATTAAAGAAAATAAAAAAAAGTGGGGCCAAATTCAGTAAGCCGAGTTTCTCTGTCTAGATTTTTAGCCTAGAAAATGCAAGTATCTGTTAGCTTGCTAATTCTATTGTTTGTTAAAATATTAATAAAATAAACAAAGGTAACACATTATATAAAGTTAATAAGCTAATAAGCTAAGAGTAATAAGACAAATGTGTAACGTGATTTGTATATTTTTTCGAGATTAGTACGTTATTGATACCTACTGAGAATAGTTAGTTAACATTTTTTTGTCCTGCCCTACTATAAATATTTGTTTTGTCTTTAAATTGGTCCACAAATGAAGGATATTATCAGAATATATGAGTATGAGTAGGTATTTGATAGTTCTCGAAAGTTAATGCAAATAAAACTTCAATTTGGCGGGGATGCACGAAGGGGAGAAATTATGGGAATTATATTTTTATTTATATATTGCTTCTACAGGTTTAATCATACGATGATAGTTATTTATGAAGCATTTAGCTTCGGTCAAAGTGCAAAATTGTTGGAAAATAAAACTGCTTTTTTTTTTTTTTTTTTTTTTTTTTTCCTACCTAAGCTGATAGCCCTAGCGGCTATTTCAGCGTAACCCTAACTTTAGTAGGTGAGCTCACGGGGCTCAAACCTGACGATGTTGCTAACACGAACCCTAGCAAGAGTCGTGCTTCGCAGAATCTACCACCGGATCGGAAAGATCCGGCGAGAAACTCAGTGGGCTGTGTCTGAGAGTTAATTTACTCGTCGAGCCCTTCGTCGCAAGCGACGGGTTCGACGAGAACGGTGACCGGTGCTTGAAGTACCTAAAAGCACCGTTAGTGGATCAGGAGGATCCGAGATGACGTGTTTAGGGCGACGTCGACTGCTTTCCATTCTGTCCGCAGGATCGGGAATGTAGTTACCGGCGGCCACGATGAGAGGGTTCTCGTGTCGTGCCGCTTTATCGAAGTGGCGCATGGACGCCGACTGCAGATACTTACTGATGGACTCTAAGTCCAGGTCGTCATGGAGGTCGACGTTCCTGACGAACCACGGGGCTCCGACGGCTATCCTGCAAAAACGGGATTGAATGACTTGGAATGATTTTAAGTGTATGCGGGCCGCGTGAGCGAACACTACACTTGCATAGGTCATGACGGGGCGTATGCAAGTTTTGTAGAGTGTCACCTTATTTCTAAGGGACATTTTACTTCGCCTACATATCATCGGGTAGAGACGTCCTAGAATGAAGGCGGCACGGTCGCGTACCGTCTTGATGTGGGGGCGGAATGTCATCCTACTGTCGAGGGTGACGCCTAAATATTTGACCTTCGGGGCCCACGGTATGGGCTGGTCGAACATCGTGATTGGGCGAACGGCGGGGGCGGGGGTGTTGACGCGCCTAGTCGGGAGAGGGATGCTCAGCGTGGTGTTCGGAGGGCGACCCCTTTTGAAGAGCACCGCTGTGCTTTTCGTGGGGTTAATGTCGATGCGCCACTTCCGGAACCACTGTCCCATGGTGGTAGCTGCGGTCTGAAGTCGTCGATGAAGCAACGCCTTCTTCCTACACGAGTAGTAGATGGCGGTGTCATCGGCGAAGAGCGCCAGATGGGTCTCCGGAGACCGGGGTATATCGTTGATATACAAACTGAATAGTAACGGGGAGAGGGCGGAGCCTTGCGGGACTCCGGCTGTGACGTGACGGGGCCGGGAACGCGTTCCCTCGACTCGATATCGGAACGAACGGTTCGACAAGTAGTCTCGTATGATGAGCACGAGTCTGTCTGGCACTCCCATGTTATACAGTTTGTATATCAAACCGTTGTGCCAGACTTTGTCGAACGCCTTCGCTATATCGAAGAAGAGGGCTCCTGTCGGAATGGGTTTCCGCCTGTTCAGCCCTAGTAAGATGTGCTCCGTGAGGCGGTGCACTTGATGGACGCACGAGTGTCTGGCGCGGAATCCAAACTGCTCGTCTATAAGAATTTTATTCGCGGATACGAAGTCCCAGAGGCGTTTACGAAGGAGCCGTTCGTAATAAAACTGCCTTAATAGGACCAACCCTATAAAAGTAAAATATTGAAAAAAAGTAAATAAACATATTAGCTGGGCGTGGTCTTTCAGATTTTTACAATAACTCCATTGATATCTCATTAAATATAAATATTTACCATTTTACTGGGTATTATTTGTCATTTAATCTATTCTCAATCTAAAATGTCGACTGTATTCCACCCACTTCACTTTTCATTTAAATTAATTTGTAATCATAAATGAAGACTTCGCTTAAAGGACCCAGTTCATTGTGACTAAAACTGAATATCATTTGAATATCATCCAAAAGTTATTTTATAATTACAGAAGACGCACGGGTGATATGTATGTACATATTTCGAAAATAAAATATCTGGTTTGTAATGAAATTTATTTTTAAAAGGAAAAAGACAGTTTCTTGTTCTGTATCCTATAAATAGGGTTGCCACCCCGGGAAAAGCCGGCACAAGTTATTTGGGTCCATTGCTGTATGAATTAGACGTGCTACTTGACCAGGAACTGCAACGCCTCCCGCCACACCGCCTTCAGTGCCGCTTAATTTACTGTTTACAGTTAGCAAAGCTCTCTGGGCGAGACCACTTTTCGAACTGCTGCCGCCTAAAGATAAATGAAGTTCGTGATTAGCATTACTTATATTAGCAAAACCAAAGAGAATGTAGACATAGAATATAATAAGATAAACTTCGGTGATGAGCTCAAGGTACAAAATAAGAATAGTTTTGAAAATAGATTAAATAGTTATAAAATTAGTTTAAAGTAAGTAAAATTAGTAAGGTAGAAAAAGTTTTAAAAATTTATAAATTCATAAAAATTTTCAATGCAATCCAAATAGTACCGCTGCGGCATATCACACTTACAATTAAGGTTATCGACTTTACTGCCACGAGTATTTTGTTGTTTAGGGGATATAATCCAAGTGTACAAAGGATCACATAGAAGCACTTCCAATATCGTCAATAAGGTTTCCTGATTGTCTCTGAGGAGTTGCATTGTTTTCTCACAAGACCTGTAACCGTTAAACACAGAAACATTTTGAATGAATCCAATATATATTATTGCACGATTAATGGTTATTGTATAAAAAATTTAACCTTCTAAATATTCCTTCAACACCGCTGGATCCGAACCCAGAAACCAGGTCTTGGGTTAGCCGGAAAGGAACAGTCTCGGGTGTTGTCAGCGCCTTGCCTTGATCAAACGCTATACCTGAAATGAAAAACAGACACTTGGGTGTTGTTGAAGTTAGGATTTTTACTAATTTTTTTCATTATCAATACATATGGGCTATTTCCTGTAAGCGTCAGTGGAACGCAAACTGTGGACTCTAATTGTTTTTTTTTTCGCTTAGGCGAATAAACTCATCGTCACCTGGTGTTAAGCTGTTATCGGAGTCCATAGAAATCATAATGTGAATGAGCGGCCACCCACCTTGAGACGTGAGGCCTCTACAATATGGTTGTGGCGCCCAAAAAACCGGAAGAATGGTTCGCGACAGAAATACGGCCACCCGAACAGGCTACTACCGGTAATTATGCAAATTATAATCTTTAATTAAGAAAATATATACTGTTACGCCGGTAAGAGCAACACCATCTATCACCGAATAGCAGAAACTCATATCGAAAATACTAGACTTGTCAGGAATGCTCTCGATAATTCTAGGGATGTCGTATCGACTATAAAAGCGTTGCAGGGATGTCACGAAGTTAATTAGTAATCGGATCTACTCGAAACGAAACAGCGAACGAATCATCTGAAGCGAAGCTGAAGCAGTGAATTAAGAATTTTAAAGTGTTCGTGAAGTGGTCTAAGTGTTAATATAGTTTCAATTTGTACTTCGGTAGAATTTTTATTTATCCCGAACACCAGCGCGTAACAATACATATATGTATGTATTTTTACAAAGAAGATAGTTTTCGTTCCATTACTGGAAAGCCTGAATGTAGTTTGATGTAAGTACATATTATTATATTCTTACCAAAATCGATGTGAATAACTTCAGCAGTATGTTTATCGATCAATATGTTCTGAACGTGTCGATCGCCCAAGCCCAGTATATATCCCACCATAGAAGACGCCGCCACACTGAAATTGGTTTTTTACATACATTTATTTGGGTTATACTTTTATTTGGGTTTTCTTTAAGAGAATTTTATTACTGAATGTGGGTAGTGATCTTACGACTTGCTGCGAACTCCACCACGACCGGGAGACATGAGGTCAATGACCTTATTGTATTCTATTGCGGCTGTCACACTTTGCAAGATAGTATCTCTTACCTGTGGGGGCTCACTCTCTTTATCGTCACTAAAACTTGTAGCGGGCGTACCTATCATAAAATATAAATAATTTGACAGACGTCATATCTCGCTAACGACATTTTCAAGATAAATTTTAATATATTATACTAGTTCCGTACAATAACGCCCGGGTCAATCCGTTTCAGTGCAATAAATTTAAAGCAATCCCCCATTTTAGTTAACAGCGATTATTTATTATATCGTCTTTAAGCGGTTCATCTAAATTAAATATTCATAACATGCTAAAATCGACTGTCAATGTCGTACCTTTTTGTGTACGCCAGTCTTCGTTCGTACCAAGACACCGGATTGTGATAATGTTCAGTGAAAAAGTAATGAAACACCGGTTTAAAGTCTCTCAAAATGTTTAAGAAAACTGTCAACTTCTCATTGTTACTCTGCCTTGATTCGCGATTCGTTTCCATCTTTTTCCGAGCATCCATGCACGATAGGTCCTAAAAAATTAAAATGAATATTGATGCGTCGCTTATTGTATCGTGTGAGTCGAAACTTTAACCAAATGTTTTTGAGACTTCAGAGGAGGTTTACTCACATAAATAACTTTTTTTTAATAGTTTCCTTATTACTGAACTTTAAATTAAAGTTCAGTAAATTAAAATTAAAATTAATTAATTAATTAATTAATTTTAATTAAGCTTTAAAGCTTGGATATCTCCTTATGAATAAGACCACAAATATTTACCCAATTAGCATGGTAAATAAATTTCGTCTTCCATTTATGAGGTTAAACAGTAATGATAAAAAGTATTGTTACGTCCTGTTCTCGACCAAGTATACTCATGTAGATTAAAATTTATTATTACATTAAGTATTGATCAATTAAAACTATTAACTATTAAATCACATTGAATTTTATATTATTTATCAACTTTAAATTAATGTATCATCATATTTTGAGATTTCAAACTGCTGGTTTACGCTATTTTTATTGATATACCTATTTAGATGTTAAGAACTGTGCCCCAAACTTCAAAATATATTTAATTGAATTAAAAAAACTGATGAAATTTTAATTTTATAAGACCCTACTCCGTAGCGCGCCTCACACCGTCAATGCTACTTAAATTATATGCTAAACTTTCTTCTTAAAACTAATGATGAAATCGCATCGTCGCTTTGTTTAATACTACTTCAAATGTAGGAATAATAGATTTATAATACCTTAGGTCGATAACGCGCATGCGCACCGGGTGTTTTTTTTGTGCCCACCAAATATCCTCCCAGCGGTATCGTTCCCACGCACCACTCCAGTACACCCGACTGGCGGGACAGAGGCACCACCTGAACAAAATGAACCAATATGTTTAATAAATAAAATAAAATAAAAACTATACACTACTAACAAACCGTCGTCGTCTTCGTGGCCTAGAGGATAAGACGTCCGGTGCATTCGTATGTAGCGATGCACCGGTGTTCGAATCCTGCAGGCGGGTCCCAATTTTTCTGCTGAAATACGTACTTAACAAATGTTTACGATTGACTTCCACGGTAAAGGAATAACACAGTGTAATAAAAATCAAACTCGCGAAATTATAATTTGCGTAATTACTGGTGGTAGGACGTTTTGTGAGTCCGTGCGGGTAGGTACCGCCACCATACCTAATTCTGCCGTGAAGCAGTAATGCGTTTCGGTTTGAAGGGCGGATCAGCCGTTGTACTGTAAAAATTGAGACCTTAGAACTATTATCTCAAGGTAGGTGGCGGCATTTACGTTTAGATGTTTATGGGCTCTGCTAACCACTGAACTCCAGGTGGGCCGTGAGCTCCACCTATCTATGCATTAAAAAAAAACATATTGTCTATCGCTATTTTTAATACCGATATTACCTTGTATGTTCGGATCAGCAGCTTGATTCGACTAGTGACCGGATTGTTTTCTAGTAAAGCGTTGACTATGTTGAAGACTTGTTGCATTACCGCGTCCTGCCTCAAATCATCTTTACCCTGTAAAATTATTTGTGGCCATTAGTGATGCACCTGAAGCGGTTCTTTAAGACTAGAAAATCTATGGAGTTACCTTAATCAACAGTATCCTATTTTGTCCCGTCGAATCAAGGCATGTCACTTTTTTCGGGAAGTTAATCCCTCCAACCAATTCGAAGTAGTTGTCGAATGATTTTAAAGCTGAAACAGATTATTATTTACAAGTTCACGTTGCAATAGTTGACAAAACGTTGTTTAAAATTATCAATGAATGTATATGTGACGTTTAAACATCACAATCAAAGACTCCTCTTCATCATTTCAGAAACGTATGTACGAGTATAATTCACTATAGTCGTAAAACTTTAGAAACCTCAACTGTATAACGGACTTGTGGAAATGTTGTTTAAAATTCCAGTGCAATCGCCTTCAATATATATACATAATATACACATGGAATACATATGGAATAATCCAGTAATAAAATACTTAATTGCGTTTTCTGTAATATATTAAGAAAAAAACATTTAGAGCCCTTAATCTCTTTTTAAATTAATAATTTAATATTTAAGATTATATAAGAGGAATCTTAACAGATCCGTAATTTACCGATCATCGTTTCGTGATATACACGGCGAAGCGTTCCCGTCTACACGATTGAAAAATAACATAAAGTTCTCTGCAACTTAGCTTATCTTTAACACCGTTTACCACTAAATTCAAGGTATTACAAGATATACAAGATATACATATTTATGTTGCATTGTACTAAATGAAAACCGTTTAAAAATTGATCTCTAAAACACGGTTTCCGATTAAAATAACGGACTACTGAACAGAACTTTTTTTTATTGCCCTATTGTAGGCAGATGAGCATACGGCCCACCTGATGGTGAGTGGTTACCGTCGCCCATGGACTTCAGCAATGCCAAGGGCAGAGCCAAGCTGCTGCCTTAACACTCCCCACAAGCCTCTTTTGAAGATTCAGTTTTGTTGCGATTTCTTTACAGAGGTCCAAAAATCTTACCTGGAAAATCAGAGTACGTGCAGTCATCTCTAATAGGTATCGTCGCGGTCGGCACGGGTATAGCGTCCAAATGACCGAGCCTCAGTATCCGTTCAGTTGCCGGGATGGCTTGTTTCACTTCTTTCGACGAAGGTTCGAGGTTAGCGAAAGCTATCATTGCTGTAAAACAAAAATTCAAGTTTCATCCAAGTTTTTTTTTATTGCTTAGATGGGTGGACGAGCTCACAGCCCACCTGGTGTTAAGTGGTTACTGGAGCCCATAGACATCCACAACGTAAATGCGCCACCCACCTGGAGATAAAGTTCTAAGGTCTCAAGTATAGGCTGCCCCACCCTTCAAACAGAAACGCATTACTGCTTTACGGCAGAAATAGGCAGGGTGGTGGTACCCACCCGCGCGGACTCATAAAAGGACCTACCACCAGTTCCAAGTTCAGTACCAAGAGTTTTAATTAAATATTTTTTTTATAGAATATGAACAGTATGCAGCGGCTTGGCTCTGCTCCTGGCATTGCTGAAGTCCATGGGCGACGGTAACCACTTACCATCAGGTGGGCCGTACGCTCGTCTGCCTACAAAGGCAATAAAAAAAACCATACCATCGCACATTCTTTCCATTTGGGACATAATCGATGCCATTGATTCGTTTTCTTTACTTAGTTCAGCACTCAATGCCTGAGCGGCGACGACTCTGGGCTCTTGGGCTCTGGACTGCGTATTTCCTGGTTTTAAGTTTAGTGTAATCGTTTTGTCTTTGTCTGAATTCTTCAAACTAAACAGAATGGGAAGTGTGTGGTGGGGATGATCGATGGCACATCTCTCTGAAACAGAAATAACAAGAAGAATAGGACCTGCAGCAAAACTATACAAATTACAAAAGTGACCTTCTAGAACGTGACGTCATTCGTGGGTATTTTAATGACAGGGCATCAAAGAAATATTTATCCCAAACGAATAAAAAATAATAAACATTTGACGGTGTACATTTGGCAAGTGGACCCTTAAATCGATTTACCATACAGATCCTTTCTCTAGGAAATGACCTTGAAACATTATGTATTTAAAATTATACAAAACAAGATATATTGTTTGTTTTAAACGAATATGACCAAGGAATACATTTTTCCATCAATTCACACCTTTTTACTATTTTATTGTCAGAAGCTATTTATAGTGATTGCTTAAATATAATTGTAGGGATTTACACAATTTTATAAGAGCAAATTTGTTCGTACGACTAGGATATCATCAACACGTAAGGCTGAGTTCACACGGCATTGTCCTGCACGTTTTCTTTGTATTATTTTAACGTGCAATCACCCGGGTGAGATATTCGGGTGATACGGTAGATTTTCACTCTGAACTGATTTTTTTTTTGCATGCAGTACGCGCCGTGTGCGACTAAAGACAGCAATAGTTTTCAGTGAGAGCGCATGATCGCCGCCGCCATTTTAGATTCATTTCTTTATTAGCGCGGCTTATACAACGTATGTGCCACTATTCATTCGAAAAGACCTATACTGCAAATAAATGTGCAGGACAATGCCGTGCGAGTCCAACCTTATCACGGGCGGTAACGACTTTTTGGCGGAAACGCGTGGGGTGAAGTTGTGTGATTTGTTTTATTTTGTCTATTTAGTGTTTCTTCAGGTTTAAATGTGTAATAACGGTGGTTTATTAACTGTTTAATAACTGTGAAAGTGCACAAATGTGGGAAAATGAAACAAAGCCACTGGACGTAACTACTCGTAATCCTCCAAAAAGTCCACTGAAAAAATCTCAGAAATGACCACCATTTTACTAAGATTATATTTCATCCCATACCATCTCATCTCGTTTCATTTTATTTCATCCCAGTTGATTAATGTCTCAATTAATCATCTTCATTTCATTTTATTTCACTCCATATTATCATTTTTCATAAAAATATGAATATAAATTAAAATAAGACATGACTTAAAGATCTTAGTTACCAGGTCATCAAATCCCTTAAAAAAAAACGAGCGGTAACAATATATTACTTACTTATGATCTTCTTCAAGTTTTCCGCAAATGCTGTTCGTTCAGTATTCAATCTGGGCACCAACTGAGGCAGTACCGTAATAAACTTCCTCGACGGTATGGCGTGTAGCAAATCAGTGAACTTTTCGCCGTTCGACTCTTCGAAATCAAAACTTGGATTGTCGAGCCATAATGAAATGACACGAAAAACACACAAATTGTTCAGCTCGCACTGCTTCAACGAACGTAAGTAGTACCTTAAAAAAATATCTTAGATCAATTATGCAACCTCTTTACTGGTGGTAGGACCTCTTGTGAGTCCGCGCGGGTAGGTACCACCGCCCTGCCTTATTCTGCCGTGAAGCAGTAATGCGTTTCGGTTTGAAGGGCGGGGCAGCCGTTGTAACTATACTGAGATCTTAGAACTTATATCTAAAGGTGGGTGACACATTTCCGTTGTAAATGTCTATGGGCTCCAGTAACCACTTAACACCAGGTGGGCTGTGAGTTCGTCCACCCATCTAAGCAATAAATAAATAAAAAAGTACATAAATATGATATCCATTATTATTATTATTATTATTAAATTATTTTGTTACATTTGCTATCAACTGGATTTATCTTATTAACAATCAAAACAATACTGCTTCCTTCAATACTGAAGGTGAGTTTAAAAAAAAATTTTACCTCATGGCCAAACTCAGAAAGTTTTCCTTCACGGCTTTAGTATTAGCAATTTCGGTTTCATCCAGCTTCCTAAATCGATCGTTCACAATTAGGGCTCTCTGCTCGTCCCTAAAACATTAAAGGTTCCGGTTAATAAATAATATTTCAAACAAGACGCTATAATACAATTACTTACTGGTGGTAGGACCTCTCGTGAGTCCACACGGGTAGCTACCACTACCCCGCCTATTTCTGCCGTGAAGTAGTAATGCGTTTCGGTTTGAAGGGTGGGGCAGCCGTTGTAACTATACTGAGACCTTAGAATTTATATATAGTTGTAGATGTCCATGGGCTCTAATAACCACTTAATATCAGGTGGGCTGTGAGCTCGTTCACATCTAAGCAATAAATAAAAAAATGTTTGTCGTGCCTGGTCAGTGATTGTTGCGTTGAACGTAATGATGATGTGGTGTCCTTGATGTTCTCTAAACATTTCACTTTGTTCTCGAAAACGGAGGAGTTCATGTACGCCTCGACCTGGGCAAATGAAAGTAACTAATGCAGTAGCCACTATCTCTAGTTTTAAATAGGGATGCATGTTTCGCGATAGAAATATGTATATTAAAAAAATACTATTTAAATACAGATAACACTGTATTTGACAACACGAAAAGAAAAACTTCCCAAAAACCCTCTTATAACACGATATCTACTTCTATAACACGATAACGAGATTTTTGTTTAAAATATTACATTATGCTCTATAAACACAAAACTGGGGATAACTGGGGATAACTGAACTTTTACTGCTTATTTTTTATGTATAAATAATAAAAACAACTGGTGCGCTTGCAACTTCTTTTGCGGTATGTGGTATTGTGGTTTTCTCTCTTTTTTTTAGTGATAATTTCAAACATTACTTTTATTTAAAATATCGCTCTCTGTAAATATTTTAGAAACTAAACTGTTCACACCGTTGGCCTTACATATGTTTTTAGTTCATTATTTAAAATAAGTTACTTGTTTGTACTCCGCGTCAGCAAATTTGGCGATGTCATAGTAGACTTTGAATCTCGTCTGCTTATGATCGGTAGCCTTCATGACGTCCAGACTTTTCAACAGGTACTTTTCAATTATATCTCTGACGTTCTCGCGTTTCGACTCTGCCATCCACAACCCGTATTGCCTGGAACAGTGTGCGAACGTCGAGTTAATTCATAGAGACACCGAGAAATGTAGATCTACACGACGACCTAAATTTAGTACCGATAAGTAAATAGGTATCTTAAGGAAGCGTCAGAACGCTACTTTGAAAAAGAGCGCAGCACGATGACCCTCTTGCCGTGGCCGCCGCTAATTACTTATCCGACCGCGACGGGGCAACACAAAGCCGCCGTCGTCCGAAACATGTCTTGTCGGGTCCCCCGGATTCACTCTCGGTGCTTTTAGGCCTCTCAAGCACCGTTTACATTCCTCGTCGAACTCGTCAATTACGACGAAAGTTCGACGACCGAACTAACCCATAGACACAGCCCACTCGCCGGATCTTCTCAGTGGGTCGCGATACCGATCCGGTGGTAGACTCTTCGAAGCACTGCTCTTGCTACAGCTAGTGTTAGCAATTTCTCTCAGGTAGAGCCCCTGAGCTCATCTACCCGTCCGGGCGTAGCTGGAATAGTCTCCTAGGCTACCAGCGAATAGGTGGAAAAAAAAGATACCACCTCAACTAGTCGATTATAGAGTGCAGAGTATCCGGGCACGAAATTGCGTGCTTAGTGCGAGTTTCATAACTTCTCGATCGCTAAAAGTTAACTCAAACTTGTATGCAGTTGCTTGTTGGAACAGCTTCCCTTCGTTTGCCGCTAGAGGCGCTGTTCAACTCCACACAAATTCGTGTTCACTTTTACGCGAACGAGAAGTTAAAAAACTCACACTATGCACACAGTTTTTATTATTATTTTATTTCCCTTGTAGGCAGACGAGCATACGGCCCACCTGATGGTGAGTGGTTACCGTCGCCCATGGACTTCAGCAATGCCAGGGGCAGAGCCAAGCCGTTACCTACCGCTTAATACTCTCCACAAGCCTCGTTTGAAGAAGGACATGTCATAGCGCTCGGGAAACATCGTGGAGGAGAGCTCATTCCATAGCCGGATGGTGCGTGGCAAAAAAGACCTCTGGAAACCCACTGTGGATGACCGCAGTGGCTCCAGGTAGTATGGATGAACTCTACTCCGGTGGCGGGCGGTGCGATGGTAAAAACGAGATGCCGGTATCATCTCGAACAATTCCTCAGAGCAAGGTATTATAGTAACACATATATGAATTAGCAAGTTACCTTAAAGCAGCCGCACTGGTCGTAGCATCTACAGTCGGATTGGTAACGACATTCTTTAGCAAGGAAATAGCGATCTCTCTGTGTCCCTTCGCCCAAGATATTTCGCTTTCCGCTAAAGTCACCTCGTCTGGCACCTGTAGCTCCTTTACTGTCGCAATTAGCCGTTGAGACATCTGTATTCTACCGTGAGCGAGAGATAATTCTGTAAAAATACGTTAAATGAGATGGAAGGTTTAAACGGAATGATGAGCGATTGTTTTTTAAAATGATTAAGCTTTATAAAGGCTAGTGATGCCCCAGTAGTCGAAATTCGAGTATAATTAATTGAAATTATAAGTTTAAACATTATTATGGTTCTACTCGTATTATCAAAGGCTAGACATAGTACTTCTATAATTACAGATTTCGTTAAGACTACACTATAGACAAATAATATTAAAGCCAAACAATATTAATCTATTCTCATTTTGACCGCAGACTTTAAACAATAACAAAAGTTTGACAATAAACAAAAGAGTAGATGTGTGTGTGTGCGTGTGTCAAATACACGGTAGTGTGTGTAATATATTTTTTATTTATTTAATGTATTTTTTATGATAATTATAAAAAATATATATCATTACGCACTCCTTCTCTATACCTATTCTCTATAAGTGTGGGAAATTTCATACTCTTCCGTCCGCGCAATTTTCGTAAAAAGGGGTACAAAGTTTTTGCTTCACCTATTATATGTATAGATATATAGGTTTAAGGTGCTTTCATACTACGCTATACTATAGTGCCGTATAGTATAGCAGCGTAAACTTAACCAATAATATATAGTACAGTACAGTGTGAACGTGTCCATAACAATGCATGGTGTGCGATATTGTTGTGCTATGAGCTATACACTATATTATGCTATTATTTATAGCGTAGTCTGAAGGAAGCTTAACTCTTTGACTGCTATGTAGATCACCGGTGCTTTACGTAGCGCAGTGAAATAATTAAGTCGATTTCTGTTACTAAGGTGCTGTAACATCTAGTAGGCTCTGGGAAGGACGAATCCGAAGATACTGAGAGTGAATCTATTTCTAAGACTAAAACATACATTAAAAACAAAAGAAGGCAAAGTTCGGCAATCCAGGCGCTTAATAACAAAAATCGACATAATTACTTCAGTGCGTCACGTAGGGCACCGGTGACCTACATAGCAGTCAAAGAACTAAAGATTAATAACGATCAGTGGTGTGAATTTGCACGTGTGTTCTATAAATTCTTCACTCAACCTCTGAAAAAGGGCAGGCCAAAACGAACTCACCGGCATATTGTATCTGCAGCGAAACGATATCTTTCAGCAAGTCGTGGTAGCGGCCCGCGGCGTGCTCCAGCATCATCACGCGTTGCGAAATCAGAGCCTCGACGTACTTGAAGTCGTTAAAACGAGGTAGGTTTTCGGTTCGCCAACGTTTGAGCAAATCGTTTATCGATATATCGGCCGACCTAACCGAATAGTAATCTTCGATGTCTTTGAATATGTGTAGTTCTCGAACGATTTTGTATACGCTCTGACTGGTCTCCATGTTGAGGTTCTGACAAAGCGTGGCTACGGCTATTTTGGCTCTGTTTAAGGGCACTATTTTCTCTAAATCAATTTGCGTAGTTTCCTCTCCAACACACGCTCTGAGGCAGGCATATTGAAATGCTCTCAATATGGAATTCGGATTGAAATTACCATTCCTCGAATTCTCGTCTAACTCCTTCGTGTCAACAAATTCACTCCAGTCACCTGTTGATCACCAATTTTTTAAATGTAGATTATAAGAAATACTATCGACCCGCCCTCGCTTCGCTTCGGAAACATTAAATTATATTATTGATAGCGGAGTCCCGCAATGTTACTCGCGAAGCTAGTCTAAAAAAAGTAGCTTAAGTTACTCCTTATATCATCAGCCACCTGTCAGTGAAAGTCCCGTCAAAATCGATCCAGCCGTTCCAGAGATTATCCGGAACAAACAAACAGACAGGCAGACAGACAAAAATTGTAAAAAATGTTATTTTGGTATATGTACCGTATATATTCATATGCATGTAGTAAAAAGCGATTATTTCAATATTACAAACAGACACCCCCAATTTTATTTATATGTATAGATTATTGAGTTACATTCTATCGGGAATAACAGTTAACGTACCCAAAAACGACATGCATTCGTACTTTATCTCGTTTAAGTAGTCGTTGTCGGGCAACGATTTAATGTATTGCAAGGCGAGGTGATGCATTCCCGACTTGTGTAGCGAGCGCGCGACGCCGGCGTGCAGGGCGCGGTCTGCGCGCGCGCCCCGGGACAGCGCCGCGTCGTGCAGCAGCAGCGCGTCCGCGAACTGCCCCGTGTGGATCAGGTACTTGCGCTTCTCGCTCTCCACGGTGAGGTGCGCGGTGCCGCAGCCCTCCACAGCGTCCGTGTCGCCGATCGACACGTAGCACTGCGCACAAACCCTCAGTCGAATCATACTAAACCATAGACAACGACATTGAAGTCGTCGTGGCCTAACGGATAAGACGTCCGGTGCATTCGTGTTGAGCGATGCACCGGTGTTCGAATCCCAGGCGGGGTACCAATTTTTCTAATGAATTACGTACTCAACAAATGTTCACGATTGACTTCACGATGAAGGAATAACATCGTATAATAAAAATAAAAAAAAACCCGCAAAATTATAATTTGCGTAATTACTGATGGCAGGACCTCTTGAGAGTCAGCGCGGGTGGGTACCACCGTCCCGCCTATTTCTGAAGCAGCAATGCGTTTCGATTTGAAGGGTGGGGCAGCTGTTGTAACTATACTGGACCTTAGAACTTATATCTCAAGGTGGGTGACGCATTTACGTTGTAGATGTTTATGGGCTCCAGTAACTACTTAACACCAGATGGACTGTGAGCTCGTCCACCCATAAATAAAAAATCCACTGAGTTTCTCAAATTATAATTGTGTACTGACTAGAGCGTAAAAAATTTGAAAATTGCATTCTGCTTAATTCATATTATTCACAATAAAGCATCTACCTTTTTAACCCTTTCGCTACGCCGTTTCGTGGCGGGTGACTATAGCCGGTAACACTACGTTTACGCTAGTTTGTTTTAAAGAATCATGAGAACTATGAAATACCTTTCTTAATATCCGTTGCATATTTTCCCCTCCTTCTAAGCTTGCAGCTTTTTCGGGTGATGCCGGAGGAACACCGCCGTTCTTAGCGAACGCCCAGAGCTCGCCGTAATAAACTGCGATCAGATTTTGATCTGAAATCGTTGCAGCCCAAGCAACTTTGTCATATTCTAGATTCAAATAGTTTAATGAATCAACTTCGGTATTTATTCTGTAAATAAATTATTAAATCGTTACACAATGAATCATTGACCTTTGATTGGAGTTGAGTTTGGAAATTGGATAGGATAGGATGGGATATTTGGTGCAATACAAGGATATAATAAAAATATTTACATAATTACAAAATATTTGTTTTAAATATATACAATATTATTTAGATTATATATTATATATATATATATACAAATAAATCAGGGGGTTGTGTTTCAGATATCCAAAGCTTAGCGAGGAGAAAAAACTGTAAATTGATTATGAAAACGTAACTTTTTTCATTATACAAAAATCCTTACCTCAAATAGTAAGCTCTTTGTAAACGGACAAATTCAACAATATCCAACATATATTGAATCATCTGTTTTTGTCCATAATCTAACCCATGGCCCGACGCGGAACTCTCGCGACTGTTACTACTGCTGTCGACTTTATCCTCGAAAGTTTGTTCCCAAACATAATTAAAAACCGCGTTAATTTGTGTCCCGAGCATTTCGATTTTACCTTCAGTCGAACTAGAAAAAAGCAGGACCCCGACCAAAGGCGCTAGAATATCTCTACAGACGTGAGGCTGGAAACCAAAGAGTTTAACAATTATAATTTTTCTTCAAACTACATCTAAGCGACCGGAGAGGTTAATCTATACTAATGTATAAATCTACAATGTTTTTTTTTTTATTGCTTAGATAGGTGGACGTGCTCACAGCCCACCTGATGTTAAGTGGTTACTGGAGCCCATAGACATCTACAATGTAAATGCGCCACCCACCTTGAGATATAAGTTCTAAGGTCTCAGTATAGTTACAACGGCTACCCCACCCTTCAAACCGAAACGCATTACTGCTTCACGGCAGAAATAGGCGGGGTGGTGGTACCTACCCGTGCGGACTCACAAGAGGTCCTACCACCAGTGATTACGCAAATTATAATTTTGCGGGTTTGATTTTTATTACACGATGTTATTCCTTCACCGTGGAAGTCAATCGTGAACATTTGTTAAGTACGTATTTCATTAGAAAAATTGGTACCCGCCTGCGGGATTCGAACACCGGTGGATCGCTACATACGAATGCACCGAACGTCTTATCCTTTAGGCCACGACGACTTCAACGGATTTTTACGGATGTTCCGTTATAACTACTGAATCATGCATCCGATTGACTTGAAACTTTGTATCCAGGAAGAAAATACATGTACTTAATGGATAGGCTAATATTTATATGAGTGTTGGACTCTCTACATCAGTTGCGGGGGCGTTAATGATCAGAATCTTTGTGGGGGTGAGAAATAATAATGTTCATTTTAAACGCCCAGCGAAGCGGACGGGTACAGCTAGTCTTATATATAAAAAATTCGTGTCACAATGTTAGTTACCATACTCCTCTGAAGCGGTTTGACCGATTTTTATGCATGTTCAGTAAGTCTGAGAAACGGCTACTATCTATTTTACATACCCCTAAGTGATAAGGGTTGTGCACCCCTAGCATTTTTATTTTTTTTATTTTTTGGACATCTTTTTTTGTTATAATGAGGCATTATGTGGTTGAATGAGGTTTTGTCATTTTTATATTCCATCATCGTTCACAGCGCTACATGCCTCTTTCACTTATTTATCACATCCTTACACACTTACAATTAGTTTTTTTTTTCTACACTAGAAATTCCCTAGAAATCTTATATATGGCAAAACAACGTTTGCCGGGTTGGCTAGTTTAATGTAAAAATCACCTTTAATTGGCAGACTTCATACAACGTATCCAAATACGGACAGGTCGGTTTTATGAGCTTCAGCAGAGTGCAAGTGACTCGTTGCAACCAATCATGGCCTACATCTTTGCTGTTGTTATTCCAATTAGAAATCAAAGCCCTCAAGAAAATTCCATCCACATATTCAATGCTGTAGTCGGTATATGCGTGTATGTTAAGTTTAATAGTGACGGGAAACGTATTGCTCGATGATACCAAGGGCTTCAGTATCTGCTTGCACTGTCTATCTATATCTACAAAGTAATTACAGATATATACCTATAAAGATGGGAATTTCAATATTTTATACAAGTCATTATGTTCGTAGCAAAAACGGCCTACGTTTTTGGGCCATGTGTTACCATGAAATAGTAGATTGCTCATTAATAAGGAGTGTGATATGAAATTAATAAGAATAACTTTATAGAATGCTAGCTGATTTTTTCCCCCTATCTAATAGCTGGTAGCCTAAGGGGCTATTTCAGCTCCACACGAATTGAACTCACGGGCTTGACCTGAGAGAATTTCTAGCACTAGAAAGAGCAGTCGCTGAACCTACCACCGGAATCGCGACCTACAGAAAATTCGGCGAGAAACTCAATACATCAAGACGCAATCTTGGTGAAGTGCATACACTCTTTATTAACAAAAACATATGTTAAAGGAATAACTAGGAATATCACATTCACGGAAACGTTCTTTATTTTATGTTTTTGCTACTAAATTTTATGGGGTATACAGAAAATTTGGTTTACAGTTCGTACCAATTGTATCGATATCCTCGAAGCATTTCAAAATGTTGCTTAATGTTTCGGCTGCTCTAGATGTCACGGTGGGATTGTCGTCCATTAGTGTTTCAGAGAGAGACTTTACGACAATCGTTACAAAACACTTGGTAGGGGTCACGCTGACGACTTTGTGCGTGTCGCGGGGAGGTACGGTCACTAAAGTTTTCAAATCGTAAATACCGATTTCTGCCAAGCAATTACACGTTTCCACAATCGTCTGAAAATATTGAACATTAGTAACTACTATGTGCACAGAAGTTGAAATTAAACACACAAACACAGCCTACAAAAGTAAACATACCTTATTATCTCTTGTAGACTTCAAGATGTCGTTCAATGAATTTATAATTTGATGTATAATGCTCGTTGCGCAGTCCTCTGAGAATCCTTTCGAGTTCAAATCGTTCAAGCACCGATCGATGAAGTGTTTATTGGTGATCAAACACTTTCGTAAATTTAAAAGCGTTTCGTAACTGAAAATTTAGATTTGATGGCAAAAATAATGCAATTAGGCAAAAGTACATCGTTCTGCCTATTTCTGCCGTGAAGCAGTAATGCGTTTCGGTTTGAAGGGTGGGGCAGCCGTTGTGACCATACTTGAGACCTTAGAACTTACATCAGGTGGGTGGCACATTTACATTGTAGATGTCTATGGGCTTGTTACATCTGTACGGCATGGGATGACATGCCTGGAACTAGAATCGTACTACCCGTTCTTTTCATAGGCGTTGCAAAGGCGACTAAGGATGTAACCGAATTGGCAGCATCGTTTTCAAAGTACACTAAGTACTACCACACTGGCACAGTAAGTGCAATACCAACATCCTTCCCATTGCTGCGGCAAAATAATCAGGCGTACCGATTCTAAGGGTGGGGCAACCGTTATATATGCGATTCAAACTTCAACCTCATTTTGTTTTCTACCTGTTCGCTGTTAGACCAAGAGGCTATTCCAGCTACACCCGGACCGGTAGATGAGCTCACGTGCTCAACTTGAGAGAATTTGCTAACACTAGCTGTAGCAAGAGCAGTGATTCGCAGAACCTACCACCGGATCAGAATCGCGACCCACTGAGAAGATTCGGCGAGAAACTCAGTGGGCTGTGTAACCTGTGTGACGATAATAAGATAGACCCGCTCACCTAGGATACACCAAGCTCAGTTTGTACGTCCTAAGCTTCTCAGTGAACGATTTCACGGTAGAGCATTCCATGTCATCTACAAATCCTTGAGAAACCGAACTCATAAAGTCTAGAACGTCTTCGCTACCGTTCAAGCAATCTTTCATTTCCACTGTCAAATAATGTATCAGAGGTTCACATTCTTTTACAAAACCTTCTTCTTGTTTTATCATCAAAATCGGTAACAGCTGAGACACTGACGTTTTAATCAGATCAGCTTTATTTATTAATATTCTTTCAAATATTATTTTTAAGCCCTTTACGTAAATTTCAACATTTTTACTATTATCACTGTCGTTGATCGCATGGGCGAAGCTCTTGCAAGCAAAATTACATACGAATGCATCTGAAGATTGTTCTTGCGGAATACTTTCCAAAATTGTAATGTAGGCGTGCAACGCTGAAATTCTCGATTCTGGACAATTTTCATTTATTACGCGGCTCCATACTTTGAATAATATGTTGAATATTGCTAATGGTTGATTTCCGCAGAGATACTGCATAATGCTACAATCGGAGAGTTCCTAAAATTAAAAATAACCGCCTTAAATAAAAAAAGCCGGAATTTGAAGAGTTATTCCACGAGCTACATGACACGATTTGAGGTTACAATATGCGGCACACATATTCCACCATATTCTGTAATATTTACGTCGGCAAACTGTATCGTGTCGTATTGAAAGCACATTAGAAACGGAAATAAACCATTGCCATACGCCACATACGCTTACACAAAAGATAACTTACATTAAATTAGCAAATACCATAAACCCGCATTGTAACCCGACGTTCGCACAGAGTCAACGACTCCAGGGCGTCAGCTGATTTTGTGTTACATTGCGTAGTATTGAAATCAACGTTACTAAAGTTTTTTTTTATGACATCGGGTCAGAGATCACCAAAACTAATCGCTCGTCGCGTTACTGCGTGATCTTTAGCAAGGTTAATTAAGGTTAATTAGTTAATGAAAAACGAAATCTCACCCCGATGAAATCCAAAACAGACAAGTATACTCGTTTCGAATAGTAAAAGCTTCTGTTTTTATTCTGTATATCGATTCCAAACAATCGGTTAGCATCACTATGATCGCACAGGTGCACGGCGGTCAACATCAATATCTCTCCAACGTTTTCGACGAAGAGATTGGTCCACTTGTCGCGCGTCAGCATTTGTCCCGTTTGATGAAACATCTTCTGGCCGTTTTCCAATGACTCTTTAAAACTGGCCGGCAGTTCGGACAAACAATGAAGTTTGTACTTGTCGATCACTACGTAAGGCAACGACAGGGCTACGATGTGTGGAAAACTGTCCTGAAAAAATTTTAATGACGTTATAATTTACATAGTAAATTGCTCAAAAACATTTTAGCATGCAACATACGTGGGAATACCTCGATGATTTCTTCTAGTGATTGTTTCTTATTATTTTGTTTTATTAAATGCAATAGAGAGCTTTCCTTGATGTTGCCTCCGCTGTTCCACAGTGCGTCCGCTGGGATCAACCAGCTCTTATACCGTTCAAGGAATACGTTAATATCATCGCACTTAAAGAGATTAAAAGGCAACGTCTCAATCGTTAAATTATTCGTGAACCAAAAATGCAAAACTGAAAGAACGTTATCGTCCAGATAAACAGATATCTCCTTTACGTTTGAGATATGACATATTCTTTTAAGAATCTTCTCTGTTAAATGCATATTTAAAGTTTTCTCCTTTTGGAATCGCAACACCTCCATTATCACTTGATGAACTAGCGATTTATTTATTTCCACTAAAGATATATACGCTCGCAAAATTGTGTGCGTTCTGTTAGTCGCTTCGTCTTTCAATAGAATTTCTTTCTTGTGCAGAACCTATAAATCCGAGAATTAATTTCATTTTATTTGCATAACAGGGCATAAGAGCTCATGCCGATTCGTTTACTTCATACATAACCAGTAATTAAACAAATTTATAAATGTTACAGATTAATTTGATAACACTGTTAATTACTGACCAAACATTGGTTCATCATTGAAAACGCCTATCAATATATATTTTTTATTAACATTATTTTAATGGTTACAGATCCCTTCAGATACTAATATAAACGGTAGGCAGCGGCTTAGCTCTACCCCTGGCATTGCTGAAGTCCATGGGAGACGGTAAGCACTCACCATCAGGTGGGCCGTGTGCTCGCCTGCCTACACGAGCAATAAAAAAAAACTGTGAAATACAATATTAAAAGCGAGACTCACGTTTATCAGAAACATATTTAATAAGCCAGCCAAGTATGAAGAAACGTGGTCATTCGTAAAATTTCTAAAGACGTATTGAAGCAAGTGGCAACAGTAAAGGCGAACGCTGTGAATGTCTCCTCGGATTTGATTCGTTATAGATTCTTCAAACATAGTTTCGTCAGAAAAATACCGACGGTTATTCAAGGAAACTATTTTGGCTGCACATTTGTAAACTGCAGCGGCTACCGCGGGAGGGTAGTACGACTTCTCGCAACGCTGCAGATAGCTCTTTATCATTATGCAACAATTTTGTTTCATAACTTCATTCTCAGACCAAATACTTTCGATCATGTTGTAAAGCGTTTTCAAAATTCCCAATGAAGCTTTTGGATTTCGGTACATTTCCTTGCAAATGTTTGCGATCAACTGAAACATTAAGCCTGAAAATAAACGGTCATAAATTCAATAAAAGTATGTATTTTAAATCAACACAATGCTAATGTCAATCAATTTTAATTTCGATGAACCGTATTTTGATAATTTAAATATTATGTAGATGTCTTTTAGCATTAGCGGCATCCGGCACCATTACATCTTGACTGTTGAAAAATGAAGAAAATGATCTCAGTGATGTTCAGGCGTCAGACAGTATTTAAATTAACTTTTACTGAATGTATTTTACAGAATCCACTCTGTCTATGGATTTATTACTGGTGCTAGGACCTCTTGTGAGTCCGCGCGGGTGGGTACCACCGCTCCGCCTATTTCTGCCGTGAAGCAGTAATGCGTTTCGGTTTGAAGGGTGGGGCAGCCGTTATAAGCATACTGAGACCTTAGAACTTATATCTCAAGGTGGGTGGCGCATTTACGTCGTAGATGTCTATGGGCTCCAGTAACCACGTAATACCAGGTGGGCTGTGAGAATATCCACCCATCTAAGCAATAAAAAATAAATAAAATAAAAAATAAATGTATGAACACGCCTTTAACTCAATTAAAACGTTACCTATAGGAGGTTGCTCCACACGACCGTCACTTAAGATTTCAATACATCTAAGAGCACATTGAGTGTCCTTGCTGTACGCATAACATTTGGGATCTAAAATCAATTCTAACAGCTCATCTCTATAAGGCCCTGGAATTCTGCAAAACGAAGCCAATACGTATACGCAGTGATGTCTGAGAGCATCAATGTCTAGGTCGTCGTCTTCGGTACAAACTATGTCGTCATTTTCATCCTTAGTATCAACGTGCAATATATCACTAATGCAACGAAAGAAATCTTCATTAATACAATTACGAATTAGCGAGCCAAGGGCGGGACTCAAGTCAGCCGCCATAATGTCTTCGAGGCGCTGCAATAATTTTATTTTGACTGGAATTTGTGTGTTACTGACTAAAACATCTTGTGAACGTTTGAACATCTGCGTCGCGGCCAATTCGATCGATTCCCGCAGCTCTTGTTTAAAATCGCATTTGTTCGTACTATTTTTTATCATGCATTCCATAGCCACAACAACAATAGTTGTATATTCAATATACCGTAAAACATCGCTGTCTTTTCTCTTCAATCTTTCGATATGTTCCCTCAGAGTTGTGATAAAATCGTTAGTCATGTGACTCAGTACGCCTCTCTGTATTTCAAAGCGGTCAATATTAAGCTCACCGTATTCTACAATTTCGGGCGCGTCAATATCAAACTCGCTAAACAAGATACAATCCTCAATAGAATTAAATAGCAAATCGAAGTGGCCGTCTTCAGAAACGATTTTTTTTCTGTAAACATTCACATTCTCGTGTGCCAGTAATCGCGAAACAAATTCTTCAGTTTTCGATATATCAACGGAATGATTGTCTCCATTAACAAACCAAGAGTATAAACTTATTTTCGTTTCCAGACTGTTGAATTTGGTGAAAAACCTCTTCGAGATACTATTGACGGTCGCCACACTAGAATTTGTTACCGGCATACTTTTCTCGGTGTAAAATTTAACTAGCGTCTGTATATTGTTGAATGACAAAATATTTAAATCCAATAAACTCTGAATTATTCTATGCATTGCTTTATGTGACGAACTATTAGACGACGAGTTTCTGAAACAAAAAAAAAAACTTATCTGATCCAATTTTATTATACCTACGTGTAGCATTTGCGTCTCGTAAATGTAACTTCGACATTCAAGCACAAGCACCGCTTGGTCAACAATGAGGATGATCGGTAGCAGCGGCTTGGCTCACCCCTGGCATTGCTGAAGTCCATGGGCGACGGTAACCACTCACCATCAGGTGGGTCATATGCTTTCCTAAAAAGGTATTAAAAAAAAAAAAGATCTGTTACAAATTCTTACCGTACACAAGAATTCCAAAGTAACAGCGACGCGGCACTAGAATCTTCTTGTCCGGATGTGGCATCTGTTAGCTTCTTTAGAACGTCACAGGCTAACTCCTCGTAGATATCCCAGTTCACGTTAGCTTTATCATTGGTTATTATTGACTCCAATACATTTATCAATGTTAAGTAATCAAGGGGAGCGATTTCATCGCCATACTTTCTTACGAACACTTGTATGATTCCCAACCTACAATAAAACAAACAAACATACAATTTTTTGTTTCTAAAAACACGTACACGAAAATAGAGGAGTTCACTCACCAAGGAACACTATTAATTCGCAATTCGTCTAAAAGATCCCGAAAAGTTTTTATTTTGTTAAAACTTATTTTTTGCCTTTTGTTCGATGGTCCAGGCTCATCGTCTAGTGATTGTATTCCTTCGAAAATCTGAAATAACATACTTACAATATGACATAAAAGGAACATTAGGGTTTCATGTCCTACTTTCCATACAAAAACGTCTAATGTTCTAGACTATTCTAAACTCTTTTACGGATCATTTGTATATTCTCAGAGCCAATAAAACATATTCGACGTCTTCATCTCACGTTCTTGTTTACGCCATCTCTTTATACATATTTTAGGTGAAAAAATTAACCAGTTGTTTCGTCTCACCTTAAGGTAAAACTAAACCAATATGTTTTGACTTTGCGGTAGGTTTAATGTAGTGTGGTCGTATAAGGTAATAAAGGATTAATTAGAGAATGGCAGCGTCGTTCTCAGAACATTATATAATCATATTACCATCGTTAATCGGTATTTACTAGTCATAGGGCGTATTGGGAGCCGGTCCCTTTGTTTTTTCCTACCTATGCTGATAGCTTTGAGAGGCTATTTCACTTTCTCCTTGGCGGGTAGGTGAGATTACGGGGCTCAAACTGTAGTGTTACTAATACTGGCCCTAACAAGAGCAGTGCTTCGCAGAATCTACCACCGGATCGGAAACGCGACACGATCCGGCGAGAAACTCAGTGGGCAATGGGAAAGTCACGCGTTGCGATTTAAGAGTGAGACAGCCGTCGCTACTGATTGATTGAGTATGCTTTATCATACACCGAATAATGTTAAAAAACAAAATAAATTCAAAAAATGAATTGCAAAAAACTTAGATATAGGTTCGAATTTACTCCTCAAGGAAGCGGCATTCACGTTATATAGTCTATGGCAACCACTGAATAGGCAGGGTATTCGTGAGCTCGTTTATCCACGAACAGCAAATTAAAAAAATGTCTCATTAATGAAAAGACAATTATGCATTCTGGTTGACAAAACATTCTATTTGGGGTTCGGTAACTACACTTACAATACCTCAAGTCGACCGTGCAATCGTCTGCCCATCTACACCAAACGAAACAGTAGAAACTGAAACTCAAAGCGAGACACATCACTACATAGTATAAAATAAAATCGCTTTCTCTGTCCCTATATCTGTCTGTCCCTATGTATGCTCAAATCTTTAAAACTACGCAACGGATTTTGATGCGGTTTTTTTTAATTGATAGAGTGATTGATGAGGTTATATGTATAATAACATCTATTAAATAGTGGAGAAATCAATAATAAATTACATTTTCCGAAGCGAAGCGTGGTCGAGTCGCTAGTAAATTATATATTGACGCGTGCCCGCCCGCCCATCTTAGGAAAGCCCGGAAAGAAATAACAGAAATCCATTCTTCGTAGAAATAATTATTGTACGTATTAATTTCGCTTTAATTTCCGTTTCACATACTAGACAGTGTACGTTGTCAGTCACGCCTAAGGTGTTATTATTAGTAAACATTTCAACATTTTGCTAACTACCTGCTAATTTTTGCCCATAATTATATACATCTCCTATTTGTCTCTCCTCTCCTCTCTCTCTCTCCCTCCTCCGTCCACTATTGATAACTACAAACCATCGCTTGACGCGCGCCTGCGTTGGATGCGAGTGGCGGCGACGAGACGCAACCCTGTCCGTCGACAGCCCACGACTACTCCGCCAAGAGCATCCGACTAGGCATTACGTCTCTTTGCACTCAGAATTAACAATTGCGGTGTGGCAGTTGCTAATTTGTTCTGGTTTTATCTGCACAATAGTGGGGTCCCAGATAAACACCAACAATCTAAGCCCCAAGTCGGACGTGCCCATCTTTGGACACAAGTTTAGTCTCAATCTTATTGGTACAACGACAGTACTACCCTTCAAACCGATAAGTTCTTGCTATTTCCCTTAGCCATCAGTGTACTAGTAAAGGAGGTAATAAATTCGAAATATGTTATGGCAACTAATTCAAGGTTTACTTTTATTTATTGTTTAGATAGGTGGACGAACTCACGGCCTACTTGGTGTTAACTGGATACGAAAGCCCATAGATATTATCAACGTAAATGCCGCCACCCATCTTGAAACATGCGTTCTATGTTTCAGTTTTATAATTCAACGGCTGCTTTATTCTTCAAACCGAAACTCATTACTGCTTCACGGCAAAAATAGGCAATGTGGTGGTATCTACCCGTGCTGGCTTTTAACACGCCCAATGCTCTGGAGAGCGTTCAAAAACGCACGCCAAAGATAATATATTCTAGAATGTTCTTCTGTTTTTGCGAATCGTAGACGTAATTAAAACTACTTTTCTTAGACAACTGATCGTCGTCTGTCCCACGAAAACTATAAAATATTTGAAACATCAGGAATAACATAACGCGAGAACGCAATAAAAAACACGAGATTAAACCATAAAAATAGTTTAAATCATAATTAACTCTTCTCGCTTTGACGAGGCAAACTGGCATGAAGGGGTTTTATTACCCTTCCTGAAGTTAAATTACAGTTCGGTTTGATGATATTTTAGTTTAGTTTTTACGTTTTTTTCTTTTGTAATAAGATTTAGTCATATTCTATAGAAAAATGAGCCATGATCTAATTAAAAAGGTATGATAAAAACAAAATTCACTAACTTGAAAATACACTGCAGCAGCTAAACTAAAGAAATATTCAAATTGTTTTATAGTACTGTGTTTCGGGTTTTTCTGCAAATAAGTCACTTCTAAACATATGATTTCTAATATGTTGTGAAGATGCTTATTCCATAGAATCCAATCGGAAGCCAGACTGCATTCTTGATTTTGTTTCCTTCCATGTGGATGATGAACCATCATTGTGTAATTTAACAATTGAAATAGTGATGACTGAAATAAATTAGTTTGACATTAACTTAAATAGCCGTTTTTATTGTTGATATACATCCCACAATTTACCTTTTTGGAAACATCCTGATTTGGGTCGTAAAATTTCAGTATTGATGACAAAATACTCTCAGTAAATTGGCACATGGTCAAGCGACATTCCATAGATAACTGAAATATACAATTTTGTTAAGTTTAGAATAAAAAGAGATTTATTTATACTCATTATGATACTTCTTCAAAAATTGGAATACATTAAAAAACAATATTAAACAATGTTTTAAATCTAAAAACAGACAATCTCTCTCATAGGAAACTTAAAAAAAAAACATTTTTTTCCTGGAAATACTGAAAATTAAGCAAAAGTAAGCGAATTAAGTAATTTCGTCAGTGTATCCCTGATACGGTTACAAATTTTCAAGTTAATAGTACCTACATCTTGAATTTTGAGAAAATTATGTTATTAAAAAGTCAACCTAATAATAATGATTTAAATTAAAAAAAATTGTATTACCGTTTTTATTAATACTATTGTGATATCCACGATGACCGATTGTAGTTTCTTGTCATGTCCTAGTCTCAAAAAGCATCTTTTTATTTGTGAGAGTGATTCTTTAAGTGAAACTGCAAATTGACAGTATTCACTTCCATTTTTCAGAACAATGAGAATGAATCTCAACTTAGTAAAATCATCCAATTTTGAGTAAGACTTTAAACATGTTGCAGTACCGATATTTAATAGATCTGTAAAATAGATGATATAGGTATTATGTGAGTAATTATATTATTTCAAAATGTAAGTTTTAATTTAAACATTGAATATTTCCAAAATAAATGAAACACGATTACATATTGTGTCTGACTAATCTTTTTATTAATGGCATTATTGATCAGAGGTGCTCAAAACGGGTCTTGCCATATGAGGTTGGCGTACACCATAACTGGATGCCATAGTTTTTACTGGATCACACTACGTGTTTGTCACGTGAGGTACATACACCCCCCTGCGTGGACTGCCCCCAAAGCCACAACTCGCATGGGGCAAATTAAGCTCGAACAGTGACGGTTCGCTCTATTAATACCAATTCGGTAGCACATCCTGTTTGTCGATGAAGTATCCGAAACCCACTTAGACAATACCACGGTCTTCCGCAATTACGTTAAGTGGTAACCAGAGTTCTAATACCGAGTCGGGCGGCACTTACAATTTTTGCATAAACATAGTGGGTTTTAAAATGTATGACCCATTTTTTACAATATGATCATTTTAACAAATCCCATCCTGCAGAGAAAAGGTTATTCTAATGCAATAAAAAATATTTACCTTCCCAATCAGATGGTTTGATAAATCCAAGGTAATGATCGAGAGGCAAAACATATTTATATAATAAAGTTAAATATGCATCGCCAACAGCAGTAGCAAGGCGTGGATCTTTCAAGATAGTATAGCAAGCTTCTAGTATCTTTTCACATCTTACATATGCTCTACCTAAAACATTTTGAGATTTAATAGACTTGATACTTAAATGGGGGTTAGACGATTATATGCCTTTTATACATCGTGATGGAAATTCTAATTCGGTCACCCCAGTGCTAAGAAGTCAAACAACTCTAATGTTGCCCATGACAATGGCCGATAGGGATCAAATACCAAAATTTTATTAAAATATACATGATTTTCCATGTGAATAGTTAAATTTAAAAGAGTGACAAACAGTGTGTTGGGATTAATAATAATAATAATATATATATATATACATATATATTTACATATTTTTATTGCATGGGTTGACGCGCTCACAGTCCACCTGGTGTCATGTGGTTACGGAAGCCCATAGACATCTACAACGTAAATGCCGCGACCCACCTTGTTATATGAATTCTAAGGTCTCAGTATAGTTACAACGGCTGCCCCACCATTCAAAGTGAAGCTTATTACTGCTTCACGGCAGAAATAGACGGGGTGGTGGTGCCTCTACCCGTGCAGACTCATAAAACGTACTACTACCAGTAATTACGCAAATTATAATTTTGCGGGCTTGATTTTGATTACACAAATTCCTTCACCGTGGAAGTCAATCGTGAACATTTATTAAGTACGTATTTCATTAGAAAAACTGGTATCCGCCTACAGGATTCGAACATCGTTGCAACGCTTGATATGAATGCACCGGACGTCTTATCCTTTAGGCCACGACGACTTCAATAGATACAACAAAAGAGTACTAATAACCTTTAACGGCAACTGACTAAGCAAACCGCAGCCTACTGCTGATATCTCAATTCAAGCCTCATTCAAAGATATACAGTCAAATGAAAGATTGTTTGATTAGGACCACAATAAAAAGTTTATGCAGTTTTCTATGCAGAGATATCTATGCAGCTTTATCAAAATCAATCCCAGACTTTAAATATTTCTCATTCTCTCAGACTTGGCCTACTATGCTTTTGAATGCTACTATGATGCTTTAACGCATTTGTATCGCCTCTCTTATTGCACTAACAGGGTTCCGTCTTCATGGAAGACCGCCCACGTCCACCCTATCCCCAAGAAGGGTGACCGGTCGGACCCATCGAGCTACAGGCCTATCGCGATAACTTCCTTGCTTTCCAAGGTGATGGAGCGAATTATAAACACACAACTCCTGAAGTATCTTGAAGATCGCCAGCTGATCAGTGACCGACAGTACGGTTTCCGTCACGGTCGCTCAGCTGGCGATCTTCTTGTATACCTTACTCACAGGTGGGCTGAAGCCTTGGAGAGCAAGGGCGAGGCTCTTGCTGTGAGCCTTGATATCGCGAAGGCCTTCGACAGGGTCTGGCATAGGGCACTTCTATCGAAGTTACCATCTTACGGAATCCCCGAGGGTCTCTGCAAGTGGATCGCTAGCTTTTTGGATGGGCGGAGCATCACGGTCGTTGTAGACGGTGACTGTTCTGATACCATGACCATTAACGCTGGCGTTCCACAAGGTTCGGTGCTCTCCCCCACGCTTTTCATCCTGTATATCAATGACATGCTGTCTATTGATGGCATGCATTGCTATGCGGATGACAGCACGGGGGATGCGCGATATATCGGCCATCAGAGTCTCTCTCGGAGCGTGGTGCAAGAGAGACGATCAAAACTTGTGTCTGAAGTGGAGAACTCTCTGGGGCGAGTCTCCAAATGGGGTGAATTGAACTTGGTTCAATTCAACCCGATAAAGACACAAGTTTGCGCGTTCACTGCGAAGAAGGACCCCTTTGTCATGGCGCCGCAATTCCAAGGAGTATCCCTGCAACCTTCCGAGAGTATCGGGATACTTGGGGTCGACGTTTCGAGCGATGTCCAGTTTCGGAGTCATTTGGAAGGCAAAGCCAAGTTGGCGTCCAAAATGCTGGGAGTCCTCAACAGAGCGAAGCGGTACTTCACGCCTGGACAAAGACTATTGCTTTATAAAGCACAAGTCCGGCCTCGCATGGAGTACTGCTCCCATCTCTGGGCCGGGGCTCCCAAATACCAGCTTCTTCCATTTGACTCCATACAGAGGAGGACCGTTCGGATTGTCGATAATCCCATTCTCTCGGATCGTTTGGAGCCTCTGGGTCTGCGGAGGGACTTCGGTTCCCTCTGTATTTTATACCGTATGTTCCATGGGGAGTGCTCTGAGGAATTGTTCGAGATGATACCAGCATCTCGTTTTTACCATCGCACCGCCCGCCACCGGAGTAGAGTTTATCCATACTACCTGGAGCCACTGCGGTCATCCACAGTGCGTTTCCAGAGATCTTTTTTGCCACGTACCATCCGGCTATGGAATGAGCTCCCCTCCTCGGTGTTTCCCGAGCGCTATGACATGTCCTTCTTCAAACGAGGCTTGTGGAGAGTATTAAGCGGTAGGCAGCGGCTTGGCTCTCCCCCTGGCATTACTGAAGTCCATGGGCGACGGTAACCACTCACCATCAGGTGGGCCGTATGCCCGTCTGCCTACAAAGGCAATAAAAAATAAAAAAATATATATTCTAATTTATACTTAATATATATTACTTCCTACCTTCAAAACCACCATGAAATTGGCTGTCTAATGCAATTAATTCAGATATCTATGGGATTCCACTCCACATTATGATGCATTATTATTTTTAGTGCCCTTAATTTAGTCATGTTTACTGTAACTTACTAAGTACTTGTCCCTTATTTGAACTTTGTAAGAAGTGATTATCTCCTTACATAATTAATTAATTATTATATTTAAATGAGTTAATGAAGCATTACAAAATTTACCTTTATTGGAACCAGCAACACATAGATGAAGCAGTGACGTACAAAGGGGTACAGTAATTGTATCAAATGTTTTTGAGGTTTCAAATTTTTCACATTCCTGTAAATTTTTACACTTAAATTAGTCAAATTTTGTAGAGCTTCAGAAGATCCCTTCAGGCAAAAATGTTAATGATGTTGAGAGTGCTGCCTCTAGCCCCTCAAAATTACTATAACCAGAAGATCATACAATTCGAATAAAGGACATTCCTCCTTACTCTACCATTGATCACACTGGCCTTTTTTGAGCTAATTATAGATTTGATACATATGACATGCCTCTCTACATTTCTTAATACAAATGTTGTATGTTACACTAGAAATCTAAAATGATTTGTATTCATGTAACATGCTTTTTGAATTTCAAAGTAATCTCTACCACCGTTAAAAAAAAACCAGCTCTGAGAAGAGCTGCTGGAACAAACTTGAGGAGTTTGTCATATACTTAACCCTTTGCACTGAGAGATGAATCTCGTTCTGCTTGTGATATTGTTCTTTGCAGTTTGGTCCTAACACTGCATATATAATCTTACAAAGATGCCGTAATCTACCTTTCAAATTATGTAAGATTGATGCATTTTCTTAGTTAGAACTTAACAGGAAAAATTTATGATATTGTCAAAAAGCCCAATGTTGTAATAAATTATATAAAACATATGGATGATGTCAATCATGCAGATCAATTGGTCTCGATATATCCTTTCCTCTGCATCACAGATAAAATTACATTTAATGTTTGTTGAAATGGTGTAAGCTGTTTTTAGTGGTCTGGGAATTTACTCTATAGATTCATATATACTCTATAAAATCACTGCACAACAGAGATGAGAACAGCTGCTCAACCACTTGTAGTATGTGATAACCTTGGTTCAGCAATTGACTGGAAATTTTCGTCAGACACATGGTCTAGCTTCGACTTCAACCTACAAATCCAAAAACATACACCTAAACGGAAATCTGCTTAGCATTCTAGCAAGGGTTAGAAAGAATTGCAAGGTCTGCTCTCAAAAAATAAGCCTAATAAAAGACATCACATGACATTAATCACAATATTATTGTGACAGTTGTCCTGACAAGCCAGGCATGCGTCTCAACAGTTTTTATATTAAATATCACAAAAGCAAATTTACAAATATTCATGTTTAAGAAATTATCTTCATAAGATATAAAGATACATTAAAATTTAAAATTTTATGTTATTTTATCTCTTTAATCTTTTTAAGTTTAAAATTCACCAAAAGCACTATGAAACATCTTTTATTAATATATTTTATTTCTTTTTGTTCACAATCAATCCATATATGATTAGTTTAAATTTCTGGTTATGGAAACCACATACCTTTAAAAAATATTCGTTTATATCACCAAAAACATTGCTCCAGCAGTACCCGGTTTTACGAAGTGCATTATGTGTCAACATGCAAGGAACAGCATTTCTTGTGAGATATTCTTTTAAATTTTCAGCGTTTTTTTTGCGGTCAGTGTTTCTAGTCAGTTTTAATCCGTCACAAACTTCTTTAAAGGTAGTTTCTAAATCCATTTTATAAAATACCAGTCCACTTAAGCTACAAGGTATTTTTCCCTAGATTAGAAAAAAATTGGCATACCAATTACTATTGTATCTCAGTAGGCACTTAAAAACATCCGTGACGTTGAACTATCTAGGCATTTCCTATAAGTTTCCTTATGTATTTTACATAAAATTGTCTTTTTTTTTCTACTGCTTTTGAAGTATTTTTGTCAATTTTGTAATGAGATAAATAAAAGTCAGAATATTTTTTTTACCGTATTAATTATCAGCTACATAAATCTACATATTTAAAGCTACCTAGTATGAGTATGCCATGTAAAGAAACAATAAATATGTACTTGTTTAAAATTTTCATGTTTTAATTAACTTATCAACTATTTGTGTACCGTACAATGCCGTACATAATTAGGGATATTCCGATACTAGTAAATACGAGTAAGTACTCGATACTTTTGATTCAATACCAAGTTTTTCTAGCATCGAATCAATCTTGCGATACATACTCGGTATCGAAACAAAAGTACTTGGTATCAAATCGAATCAGCATTACCATTAAAAAAGCTTAAAATTTCCGAACGCATTATACAGAACGAGAGAGTAAAAGCCCATTCGCTCGGTTACCGGTATTCATCCATCGCGTAGCGGCGACGCGACGGCGCGGTGTGGATGAGGCGTGCCTTTTTTCCAAAGCCGGTGCAATAATATCTCAAACAAGCTTCGATCAACTATAGTAACCAAACAAGGAACAGATTACAACAACAAACAAAATACCTCAAACAGTTATTGATTTTGGGCAATCTTGATGCCAAAGAGTTTTTTGTTTAAAGTAGGTACTTAACGTGACGCAAAATGTTTTTAATAAAATATCTTTTTCCTTCTCAATTTTTTTTTAATTATTGTCCTTCAACGTTAATTGTTTTTACGTGAGCAGAAAAAAAGTGCTAAAAGTATCGATATCAGTAAGTATCGATACTTTAGGAATATTCATATAAGTAGTATCGAACAAAGATTTGAGTACTATCGAAACTTACGTACTGGTGGTAGGACCTCTTGTGAGTCCGCACGGGTAGGTACCACCACCCCACCTATTTCTGCCGTGAAGCAATAATGCGTTTCGGTTTGAAGGGTGGGGCAGCCGTTGTAACTATACTGAGATCTTAGAACTTATATGTCAAGGTGTGTGGCGCATTTACGCTGTAGATGTCTATGGCCTTCAGTAACCATTTAACACCAGGTGGGCTGTGAGCTCGTCCACACATCTAAGCTATAATAATAAAAAAAGAGTAGGTATCGATACTTTTATGGTATCGGACATCCCTATACATAATTAGATGGTTCTACTCTATGTATTTGTAACCTACCGACTTATTTGACATTTGACATTTTTTAAGGGATTTTGTGACCTGGTAACTAAGAGCTTTAAGTCTAATCTTATTTTAATTTATATTCTTATTTTATGAAAAATATAAATATAATAATGTGGAGTGGAATGAAATGAAATGAAGATGATTAATTTGAGACATTAATCAACTGGGATGAAATGAGATGAAATAAGATGAGATGATATGGGATGAAATATAATCTCAGTAAAATGGTGGTTATTTACGGAGACTTTTTCAGTGGACTTTCTGAAGGATCTCGAGAAACTACGTCCAGCGGCTTTGTTTTATTTTCCCACATTTGTGCACTTTCACAGATACTAAACAGTTAATAAACCGCCGTTATTACACATTTAAACCTGAAGAAACACCAAATAGACAAAATAAAACAAATCACACAAGTTCACTCCTCACGTTCCGGCCAAAAAGTCTTGACGTTTTTTGTTCGATTCTTACCACAGATTAAAGTATTAATTGATTTTTCTACTGGACAGACAGACTTTTTTGATTGGCTAATGCACAAACAGTGCCAGAGCCACAAAATAAAGAAGAAGAAAAGACTCTTTGACATTTGTTTGATTTTGATCTTCTGACACGGGCAGGTACGCATTAAGGATTATAATAATATTAGGTAGGTACCGTACTTTTTAACTCCATGAATAATATTTAATTTATAGTGTTAGATTTAAGCAGTCGGGCTACTTTGCCATTGAGTGCCACCTGTAACTGTTAATTAATTCAGATGTTTACAGCACAAATTTAAAAAACAAAACGAATTTTTTGAACAGCTAAATTTTATAAAATAACTATACAAACACGTTAACTTTTTTAAATTTACTGGTTATTTAATACATTTTTCAAACATGAATATATTATTTTATTATTTTTATTTAATACTTTTTGTTTTTACTTATTGTTCCTCTTCTCAATCAGTGTTGCTATCCGTGTCCTAACATTACTGTTGCTTTCAGTTACAAGCACCATTTACATAGCAGACAAATTAGTACAAGGATAATTAGAAACCCAAAAAAAGAACACAAATTAGTGGTGAGCTAACGAAAAAAAGATTGAGATGCAAAGTAAATTGATCAGTGATCCTAATTCGAGTTATAGAGAACTTGTAATATCATTAAATTAGGTAATCCAAAATTAAAACCAATTTCCTACAAAATTTAAGAAACGTTGTTGTTTCATTAAAATTCTATTCCAAATAGGTTGCTTCCCGAACACTTGCAAATAAAAGTTTGACCGAATCACAATATCCTACACCACGACGTGATCCAGAAATGATAACGTATGCATCACCTGCACGTAGCATTCTTTTTGCTTTACAGTAGTTTAATGCAGCAAATATCCTGGATTCTACTTCATTTAACCAATTTCCTTTAGGAGATTCAAAATAATGTACAGCGCGTACGCCACGCCAAAATCGCAATTGCCTAGCTGTATGACAAGTTCTAGTCACGGCAACGATAGGACACACCGGTTTTATATAGGATAAAATTTTAGCTGTACGACCTGAATTCGTTAAGCATATAATTACAACTGCTTGCGACAATGCTGCCAATTCAGCTGCTGTAATACAAACAGATTTTGTTGGATCCTCGTTACGATTTTTAAGTAAATCTTGATTTCCATGAATATTAGGTTTCCATGTTATTCTTTCTGCTTGTCTGCAAATTACTCCAGCTGCTCCTAAGCAATGTTCGGCCATACGAATAGCGTCATACAATGGTGCAAATTTCTTTAGGGGTGAATCATAATGAAGTTCTAAAGAAAGAACATCTGCTCCGTCTAAAACGAGATTTGCTAAATCTGTTACGCATAGTGTTGGTATTTGTTCATTAAGTACTGCTTTGCATAAGCAAGGTTTTCCCACTGCATTACACTTCGCAAGAATCTGTTTTTGGGCCAAAAATATTTTTTCTACTGGTAAATCAGTACTCAAAACAGATCGATCAACATAAATGCCATCTGCTTCTTCCAGTACTTCATCTATATTATCAAGCCCTAGGACTGTATCTATACAAGCAAGGACAAGAATGTGTTTTCCTTTCTCTGAAAGCATTTCTTTAATTTGTTTGATATCATGTGATCCTTGACAGTTGGGTACTAATAAAGCATCAACATCTGAAGCTGTAGCCCAATTAACTTGTTCATCTAAATGTTCAAATGCTTGGCTTGAACTAATAATATCGGAAATGGAATCAGCACTATCATCTCGTCTACAGCTTTGTACTTCCATAGGTATTGATGATATACGCACTGCCATACTAGCTCCAATGGTACCGCCAATAACAATAAGACATTCTAAGGAATCATCTCCCACTTCTGTAACAACTAGTTTGATTTTTCCTGGTGATAAGCTATCTATATAAATTATATCATCTGTATTCAAATCTGTCAATTGATCATATCCTACGTAAAGGCATTCCGATGTCCCACAGTCCCTCCAACTGGGATCTATTGTTAGCCGAATTGTTTCAGTTTGTAAAAGCTCAACAGTAGCATGTGGACCATTTTTCAGTCCTCCTGTGACAATATCTGGACCTTTGACATCAACCACGACAGCTAGAGGATAAACAAAATCTAGCTCTAAACTATAATTATACACAGCTTGTCGGATGCTTTGAATAAGTTGAGCGCATGCTTCTGGTTCTAAATTTTGCATATTTAATCGTGCTACAGTCATCCCTGAAGCTATTAGTCTTTGTATTGTAGCTGGTTCTCTGTTATCAAGTCCTATGTCACACATGAGTCCCGTTTGTAGCTCCTCGCAAGGATTTTCGTGTACATTAATGTTACAGTAATGTTTGAGCAATGTTGGTTGTACCGCATTGAGTTTTTCTTTAAAACAGGGTGCAGCCTCTAATGGAATATGCCAAGGTAGTGACATAGTATGAATAAAATGAGTCAATCTTATGATCAAATTTTAAAAAATATGTTTTTTGATAATATGCTGTCATCTGAATTGACGTATACGTCAATTAATTTAAAACCGTTCCCTAAAAGCTTGAGTCTATAATTTTAAGTATAAATCGCACCTCATTTGTACAGTGCGATCTGAATATTAACAAGTAAAGTACTTAATTGTCGTAATCTTATTAAATTTGTGATAAAGTTAAAACTTCAAAATATTGGGTGTTAAACATATTTAAAATAATTTATTATCTAGATATAAATACTAATTGAATAAAGTGATAAATAACAAAATTATTGGCCATTTAGTTTTCCACCCACAGTCATTGTAGTGATGCGCTCAACTTACACGGATAACTCTTGAGGTCGACGACTGTAACTACTACCTTAGCCTGAAGCATTAAAATTTAATTACTAACTTATGGAAGCAAAATTTTTTGCTGTCTTAGGAAGTTTATAAACCTAGAACAAAAAGTGAAAGAAACTTGTAGCCGTAAACTTTTTTGTTATAATGGTATTTTATCTTCTTATAATATCACCAAACCAACGTGATACGCATTTACCGTTATTTTTACTTGCTTGTAAATTTTGGCTTAGAATCAATGACTCGGCCACTAAACAGATTTACGGTGGGCCTATTTAATATACAAATACGTGACAGCGAATCTTGACGACGTTAGGTAAATGATTCATCAGGGATAATTATAATTTTTATTTAAAATTATCTTTTTCAGGTAAGTTAATAGGTTTTACCAATAATCATTATAAAGTTCAAACAGTACTTTTTTAACTACAGTTGCTTTCAAGATGAATGGGCAATAGCACTTTTGTCTTCTCCGTGTAATTGGACCAAAAAAAATGTCTACGGTAAGAAGTCAAAACTAGTCAAAATTTTGTTGACATAAACAAAGTTTATGGCAACATTTACCGACTGAAAGAAAGAAAGAGTTCGCAAACTTGCTTGACTGCGTGTCACGTTTGTTTCACGATATTATAGCTATCGCGTATTGACTAGTTTGCCAAAAAAAAATTGTGAACTGTTTCGTGTAAAACATTTTTGGGTATTTAGTGAATAGTGAATTTTTAACAGTGCAAAACAACGAGTGCTATAAAAAAGAACAATATAATTTTACTTTATACCAGTGTATTCGCTGCGACCGTGAAGGTTGAGAATGTTACGTCATTTTGCTTTTAGTGTGTGATACAAACTTATTTATTTTGGTTTAGAACTATGGCGACTTTGTTAATAAATTAGTGTATAATAATATATTATAGATTATCAGAGTGATACGCCTAAAACCCACATAAACTTAAACAAACCGGCTGCGACGAAATGCCGCCATGTTATTTAGATTTCGCAGTAAAGCTGTCAAGCATTGGACGCAGCTAACCCTGATACTTAACTTGGAACTAGTAGCGTTACTTGCGAAGAGTGTAAGTCATATTTTATATTATACGATGATAATTCATACGATTATGTTGCTCCTTCGATTTTAGAAAAGACACTGGTCTCTCGAAAGGATTTAGGATTGTTATGTTTACTGTCTTAATTTGCCTGTCAATGTAATGACGTCATAATTGGAGGTATGGTTAGAATACTTACATAGGTATATGTTTGCATGGAATAATAAATACCCTAATAAAAAGTACAAAAATATGAACTAACTTGAACCATTTTTTTAATAACTTAAACAGAAGTAAGTACTTAAAGTAAAATTTTACTTCATCATTATGTTTAACCTTGACCGGTATTGATAAGAATAAAAATCCACATGAAATTACTTGTTTTCTGATTTAACATAGATTTTTTTGTCAAAATGTTGACTGTGATTCGAATGTGTTGTAGAATAAATTCAATACATGCAATTTATATTAATTATTATAGAATAATTTGTGACAACACTAGTAGCTTACCCTGAATGTAAGTTCGAACACAATGTAAACATGTTATAATCTAGTAATAAATTCCATTAAATTAAAAAGAATTGCTTAAAATTCTGAATTTTTTGGTATCCAAATAATTCTTTAGCTGTAAGATATCAAATAGTAAACTGACTCTACTGGGGCTTAACATAATATAACTAGTTTCTCAACATATTGATTTTGTAAAATGAAAATCAAAACATACCAGATTTTAAGATGTGTAGTATTTATATGCTATGATATCTATATTTGTTGACTAATACCAGCTGATCAGCTGTTCTACTCATGAACAGCAATAACTATATCGACGCTTGAAAGCCAAACGTGACTAAGCGACAATGCCTGAACTTTACAGTAGACTAATTTAAAGTTGAAAAACCTGAAAACAAAATTTATTTTAACGAATCCAGCTGTAGTAGAATATAGCTAGTAGCTGTAGGATTGAAATGATTTTAATAGATCTAGAATTTTTTTTTTTTTGCGCATCGAAAATGGTTATCGCCTTTCGTTTATGTACAAAGCAGTTATTGTTGCTTAGTCACTTTTGCCTTTTAAGCGTCGATATCAATAATGAGGCATATAAGCAAACAATCTCATAATAAATGAAAATGGCATCACTCAATAATTTTTTTAATTCCCTTAAATAACTTAAATGAATCTATTGATTATGAAATATAATCAAACTATCTTATTTAACCAAAGGGTATAAATGTAATGTTAATATAGTAATTTATTAAGTAAATAAAATTCTAAGTAAGAATCCAATTTTGAGACAAAAGGAAATTCTCATTTGCTCATAAATTAAAAGTTAAAACATAAAAGTAAAACCGACACCACAGCTAATTAAATTCACGAAATTTGTGCTCTGTGATTTTCATGCCCGTGGACTTTACATGTGTACTGAAATATAACTATATTTTAATATAGCACCAGCCAACAGTCTTAGTATTATGTGAATTTATTTCAATGGGATGTAAGGAAAGACCTCTTGTTTATAATATTTTGTTATAAATATAAATAAATGAATCTTCTCTAAATATTTTTTCAAAAAATTAACCTTTTTTTTTTCTTCTTTTTTTTCCGGGCCGAGGGCCGAACCTCCTACGAGGTCCCCGCGCCTAGGGGGCGCGCGGGGTATGTGAGACTCAACGATCTGCAGGTGTTGAGAGCAGACCGCGGGCCCAAGGAATTTAGGGCCCACCCACTAAACGACTCCCCTGCACTCTTACACCCGGCGTCCGATCTCCGTCCGGGGTCAAAACCCGGTCAGAGTAGGGGGGNGCGATAGACGACTGGCCGCGCAGATTGAAGGCCTGTATTCAAAATCACGGAGGTCATTTTGAATAAACTTTAGTGTCATAAGAATCTATGTTTTGTTAAGTTCATTTTGGTATATGAATGGTTACATAATGAATAAACTTGTTTCAATTATTTTACATTAAACATGTGACAGAATTTATGACCTGACTAGGTATAGCTGAGCTTCACAGTTGATGATGTTTTTGTACCAAGTGACTGGTAGGTCATCAATCTGCAATCATTGGCCGCAAATAATGATGTAAATTTCCCAAAACCTAGGTTTAGGAAAATCGTGAAATTCTCTCGATCGATCATGAATCTCTACAGACAGGGCAATAATTAAAAAAAAAAAAAAACTTCTTCCCTACATAATTGAAAAACAACTTTCGGTTTACGTAATATCTTAACTTAAATTTAATTAAAGTGTAAAATTTAAAGGTTAACAACCGCACTAACACACAAACCCGGCGATTTCCGTTTTATTTTGAGTTATGAGAGCGAATCGAACCATTAAATTCTTAACAAAGCATTTGGCTCTTATTTTGTCGTAAATGTCCTAAATAGACAGCAGCGAGAGAGATGCAAACACAAAGACTATTTCTTCACAGTATTAAAAATCATGACTTACATACCAAATAACAGTTAACTTACAACCCAAATCTACATCTTTATCCGTATAAATTTTGAAACTCACTACATACTCATCTGAACTAAAACACAATATTTTGTGTTGCTCGTAACAACAACTAAAATTAATTATATAGACGTTATGATTATCATGATAGAACCGCGTCTCTAATTTACATTACGTACTGTGTAACACGGACATAAATGTTCGTTATCTACATGAAATAGTATCTAGATTATTTAAAGTATAAAGGGTATTCATATATTTCATTTGAAAACATAAGGCAATGTCATAATACGATTTCGAATTTTAATCGAATTGAAAACACATTTTTACTTCCTCTTTATCTCAACTATTTACTACAGTGACTGAGTGACTCGCTCTTGGCCTTCATAAGAGATTTCTATTTATTCCGGTCTCCTCCAATGCATACCATTCTTGTGCTTTGAGGACTGCGCGAATTTTTTGACTCTATCGGGCCATCTTGTGATGGGGATGAATCTAACACAGTACAACTTGTCTTTCTAAGATAATTTTCATTCGGACATTTCATCTGAGGCCAGATTTGTAAACTGCTAGTTATTCAGTATCAAAACTACTGAACCGATTTGAAAAATTATTTCACTGTTTGGAAGCTTCACTGTTCCCAAATGACGTAGGCTATAATCTTTTTTGAAAAAAGTTAGAAATCCTTACTAAAACTCCAATAATGTAACCAAAGGTGTAAAAAAATTACCTAATACATTCTTTACATCGCGTGCCCTGCGAAAACTATTGATGATAGAATAAAATAATGTACTACGACTTTGTAGAACACATTATTATTTACAAAAAATGTTGCGACAGCATATGTCTAACTATTATAGTTATGCCGAAATAAGTGTTCTTTTATTTAAAAAAATAAAACAACGTCAAATATCGTTGAAATTTTTGTTAAAGACCCGAGCGGAGCCGGAGCGGGCTGCTTGTTACTTATAAAATACCTAACATATGGATTGCTTCACTGCTTGTTTTTGCGATGCGAGAACACCGTATTAAAATAATTCCAGATATTTTTAGCAGCTTGATAAATAGAATTAGTTACCGTTCACGTAAATTGCTGAACAATTAAAGAACATGCCAAAAAT